ACGATGTCCCTTGATCGCGGATGTAGACTGTGGGATGGTGTACAAACCCGTTTCTGACTAGGTCCTTTGAGTGGCCGAGCAACCCATTCACGGCACCCCCAAAGAATATCGAATGCCCACGGTGAAAAATCTTGATCTCTTCGAACACTTCGAGGTTGGTCGCAACAGTGAATTCCACCGTATGCATATGTCATGGGGTGTTTCTCCCTTCAGAAGCCCTAATTCCATTTAGAATCTTCGAATCAAAAGCCCTAGTTATAATAGCATATTCCTGGAATAATTTCCTTTTGATTCTTTGCGTGTTTTCCGGGGATCCAACGGCCGTCCTGCGCAGCCCTCGCCAGCCCGGATTCTGCCACGTCACCCACGTCTGTGACTGTAGCAACAGGGTTAAGCGCAATGGAGCTGCTGCTGGGATCGCCTTGCTCGATGCCGGGATACTCCGTCTAGGTATGATATTTCGATCGAAGTGGCGATGGCGGTGGAGAGCGGCGATCCACGTCCTGCCCGGATTCGATGGCGCGTTGCCTCCGCCGCGGCAGTGGCGGCGGCCGCGCTGCTGCTCGGGATCTCGGGCCTGATGAAGGCGCTCCCCAATGCGTGCGTCATGACCTACATGTATCCCACGTATGTGCCCGTTCCATCGGGGCCTGGCTCGCCATCGGGGAAGTATGGATTGTTCCTCTATCACGAGGGGTGGAAGAAGATCGATTTTGAGCAGCATTTACGTCGCCTCGCCGGTGTTCCAGTTCTCTTCATCCCTGGCAACGGCGGCAGCTACAAACAGGTAATTTGATCTGTCTGGTCGACTTCCTAGAATTTTTTTTCCTCCATTCTCCTCCATTTTTTTGGTTCGATGTGTCCTTTGTTTTAGTTGCTTGGTCGATGGTTCTTCCTTCCACGGCTAAATTTTTTTTTTTTTTTTTTTTCTGTAGGTGCGATCACTTGGAGCCGAGTCGGATAGAGCATACAATGCTGGGCCTCAGGACAAAGCATACTACCAGCAATCATTTTTCACTCCCGACGAGGCCGGGATGAGCAACGTTGAGAACTTGTGGGGGCGAGAGTCGTGGGACTCTCCGGACCATGTACGAGATCTCTTGGCAGACGTGGGGCATCAAGAGGAGTACGTGAACCGGCTGGACTGGTTTGCCGTTGATCTCGAGGGAGAGCATTCGGCTTTGGACGGAAGAATTCTCGAAGAGCATACGGAGTATGTTGTCCAAGCTATTCACAGGGTAACAAGGTGTCAGTTCTTCTTTGATGTTTCTGCGCTTCTAACTTGTACTTGTGTGGTTTTTTTTTTTTCTCTGTAGATTTTGGATCAATACAGGGAATCCTTAAGAGCCAGATCTGGAGGGAAGAGAGGAAATGAGGACGCATTACCGACCAGCGTTATTGTCGTTGGACATTCCATGGGGGGATTTGTCGCAAGAGCTGCCGTCGTCCATCCGGAGCTGAGGAAAGGAACAGTACAGACTGTTGTGACGATTTCTAGCCCGCACTTGTGAGTTTCTAGCGTCGTACTTGGTGTTTTCAGCTGACAGTAAATGTTTTCTTCAGGCTACCTCCCTTGGCACTTCAGCCATCGCTTGGTCATTTTTTCTCGAGAATAAACAAAGCATGGCGGATGGGTTATAGCAGTCCAAGGTCAAGGTCTGGAAGGCCGAGGCCTAGTAGCGAGGCCCCACTCTCAGATGTTATAGTGATATCTTTGCCGGGTGGGATTTACGATTACCAGGTAATCCAGAATTGAGTCAGTATAATAACTCTACCTTGTTATTCAGGTTCGTTCTAGAATGGCTTCACTTGATACTATTGTTCCAGCAACAAATTCACTTACCGTTGGGGCGCCTGAAATGCTGAATGCATGGCTTTCTACCGAGCACCAGACGATATTGTGGTGCAATCAACTCGTTGTTCAGGTGTGCACGACCAAAAAACTTTCGGTTCTCACTCTAAAATACTTATAAACCTTTTGTAGCTTGCACACACACTCCTAAACGTTGTTGACAGGCAAACTGGTCAGGTGATATCAAGTCCTCGTACGAGACTGGCAGTTTTTATTGCAAGACTAAGAAGTGCCATTCCGCAAACCTTTGGCTGGCTCGCAACAGCTGATTTAATGGATGACAAGGAATCAGCATCTGGCAGAAACGGTATTCATCTATTGCCTCTTCAATGATCGATTATGATATTTGGCTGCAGATAAAAGCACAGCGGCGAAACCGAAGTACGTGGGTCGCTATGCATGCCCGAGAACGTTTCAGTGGGAAGGTGATAGGGACTTTCATGTTGACACTTCTTTAGTGACAGTTTTGGCCATGGACGGTAGAAGGCGTTGGCTGGATATTCAAAAGCAGGTGACGGGTATGTCTTAAGCTAGAACAACAGTCTAAAATGTTTTGCAGGCAGTACATGGCAGATCAAACTTTGTTCTAGTGACAAACTTTGCACCATGTTTGGGAATTCGAGTTCACTTATGGCATGGAAAAAGCAAGAAAGCCAATCACAACGCTGTCGAAGTTACGGCAAAGATGGTTCAATTGCCTTCAGCACCGGCACCCCGTCAGGTTGTACACGATTAAGACTTTTTTCTCTTAAATCTTTCATCTTGCAGGCTGAGCCTGGAGGACAATCCGAGCAGGCTTCTCCATCAGGAATCTTGAGACTAAGCGCAGACGATCTGGAGGGATTTCGCTACATAACTATTTCTGTGGCACCTCGTCCAGTATGTTCTTGTTATTTCCTGTCTTGTTGTTTTATCTGCAATCTGCCTTCTAGACCGTGGTAGGACGGCCTCCACCAGCAGCATCCATGGCTGTAGGCCAGTTTATAGACCCGAGAGATGGGAGTGCATTTTTGTCGGCTTGGTCAATCCTTTCTTCTACTTACAGATCTCAGGTAAGTTCGTAACTGTATTCAAAGGGATGAAATGACGGCTTCTTTCTGCAGAGTCTACATCTAAACGAGAAGCATCCTTTGGTGATGAACTTTTCGGTCTCTGTCGGCTTTGGAGTTTTGCCACTCTTAATGGAAGTAAAAACGGCAAGCTGTGGCATTTCGGATAGGCAACAGGCAGGCGATAGTGAAGTTGCAAGTAAGTTTTAACTAGTAAAGAACTCGAAGCTCCGTTCTAAAACAACTTACAGACCTTTGCAAGCTTCGCTGTTTTCCACCGCTGGCAATGCTTTGGGACCCTTATGCGGGTCTTCAAATACTTCCTAATCTGCGCGTGGAAACTATTGTATCCGACTCTTCTACTGTCTTACCTGGCCTCAAGTATGGTTCTCAAGAAGCATCCATGGTTCTATTGGTAAGATAAATATTGCCTGAGCTTCTAGTTTATTTTTGCGTTTTTTATTGCAGGCTGACCCGCATTGTGGTTATAACATTACATTTAAATTGGCGAAATCCATCACTGTTAACAGGTTTCTATTAACGCATGCGTCACAGGTACATTCAGTGCGAGCTCGTATCTGTTTTCTAATTCCACTGTTTATTTACAGATTGGAGGATTCATGGTAGCGGTTTTGCTGTATGCCTTAAGTCGACAAGCTCGTGCATGGGAACTTGATACCTCCTTTCCCTCGCTTTATGCTTGCCTGGAACGAAATTTTATGTTTCCAGTGCCGTTTCTTCCGCTGTGTTTTGGCCCCTTATTTATTTATTTTTTCCGTACGACAATTGGAGGCGATATTCCACCTCCATATGTGCAAACATCGGTTGTGGCTGCTATTTGCTACGTAATTGCCAATGGGATTATGGCCGTCCTTGCTGTAGGGAGCATGCTCACCTTTCATGCGACTGCATCTCTTCAAGTGTTCTTGCGGTCCAGGTAAGAAACTCTTGCAGTTTTCTCGCGTGCTAATAGTATATGTTTTGATTAAATCAGGTGGCAGTCGAAATGGAACAGTAGATGGCTACGGCGTCTGTTTGATCAAGTCTCTGTTTGCTTCAATCTCCAGGTTTGTTTTCTCTTTTCTAAACGTTGTCGCTGATGCTGTGAAAACGCAGATGGTGAGGAAGGTCAGAGCGGTGCCAAGACTGACCACGGGGATAGTGGCAACTGTTCTTGTGTTTTTTGTTCATCCTGTCTTGGGACTCTCAGTGCTACTTCTAGCGCATACATGGTCGTGCCATCTTGCGCTTTGCAGGTACGTTCATTTGCGTGTGTTGTTTTCCTGATTAATCAAAGTGGAATGAATCCTCCGCAGCTATCGCGAGACGAGAGCGACTGCAGATAGGCCACAAGCAGACGCTAACTCCCGAAGAAACGGGCATCACAACGGCGGCAAAGATGATCTAGACGAGAGCAGCGTCGTCGACACAAAATCCGTGGCGCTTGTTCACCTCGAGTCCTTCAAATTCTTCCAGGGCTTGCTCCTCCTACACTTCACAGCCACAGCCATGCTCCTCCCCTCTTTCATCGCGTGGACACAGGTACTATACTTTTCTCCTCCTCTTTCGTAGTAATAGTAATACTAACACTCAAAAAACTCTTTCATCTCCAGAGACCCAAAGTCGATCGGACACTTCCATGGTTTCTGGACTCGCTACTGTGCTTCGGCGTCCTTCTCCACGGCCTCTACGCGAGCAGCGGCGGCGCAGACACCATCTCCTCTTTCAGCCGCTTCGAAGCACTGAGAAGCTACGGATTGAGCGTGGTTTTTGCGGTGAGTGGATTGTATACTTACTGGGCAGGGCTGTGCTTGGCTCCCTATCGAGCGTTCTACGCTTTCGCGGCCATTGGTTTGATCACTTCAGTGATGAGATACACAGACAAGAACAAGGGAGATTGCTGCTCCTTGTACAAGAGTAAAAGGCGGCATTTTCACGGGCATTAAGTTTTAACCACTGTACTTTTTCTGAGGTGAAAATAGTTTGCCTTGAGGATTTACCGGAATCTATGGCCGTCCGATGTAGATGGATTCTCCTAGAATCCATGCCATGTAAATGCCACGTGGGTTTAAAATTAACCCTTTACGTGGGCAAATAAAAGGACATACATTTCACTCGAAAGTATAGGGCTAGGGTTTTTTGGCGGGGGGCGCCGTCTCCATGGCGGGCGGCGAGTGGCGGGGAGATTTCGTGAGTAGTGGGAGGATTCTAGCGATAGCGTCGATGGTTCTAACTCCTGATTCGGTCGATCGTGCAGAGATTTGGCGGTAGAGCTGATGCGGTCAAATTCGAGAGCAAAAGCAAGCAGGATTGCCTGAGGCGGCGCCAGGTGATCAGTGAATTGCTCAAGAACAAGGAGAAGGAGAAGGAGAAAGAGAAGGAGCGATTGAATGGTAAGGAGAGCGGCCGTGATCGGGATCGCGGTTTCTTTGGCCCCAGCAGCAGCTCAAAACCTATACAAAGACCGCTCAAGCCTGTCAGACCTATCCCAAAGGTACGTTCTTGCATTGGCAGTGGGAACAATTTTTCTGGATTTGCTTTTCAGGCGAAACAAGAGTGTGTGAAGAAACTCAAGGATGCTCGCGATTTTACCTTCCTGTTTAACGAGGGTGGCAGTCCAGCGGCGCAGAAGCCTACCTCCAACGGGAGCTCTGGTACTTAAAGCTTTCCTTACCTTTCTACTGTGTTTTATAAGAGTGCTTAGTTCACAATGTCAGGAGTAAAGCAAGCGAGGAACGTAAAGCTAGCGAACCTCGCAAAGCCGTGCAGAAGCCTCAGGAGCGTAAGGTGACGGAGGTGAAGGCTGGAAAACTTGCGCAGGAGATTTTGAAGAGCAATTCCTTGAAGCCGCCTGTTAAACTGGCTGGACCTACAGCTCCAAGGCCTTCGAGTGCTCCTCCAAGTACATCAAAACCTACAGTGAAAGCATCCAAGCCAAGCAGACCGCCGGTAAAGGTAGACATCTATGGTTTTCTAGTTTTTCCTCTTCAATCTTACGGATCCATTACGCATTTGCAGCCGAAAGTAAATCCTCAGGAGGCAAAGAAGCTAAAAGAAGGGCGAGACTACAGTTTTTTGTTTGACGATGGCGGCGATTCAAAGCCTCGGAACGAGAGGCCCAATGGTATGTTTCACAAGCAATGTAACTGAAGATACTGATGGTGGATTTTTTCAGGAAGCAAGGACATGCCACCGAGATCTTCGGAAAAAAAGGTTGTCAGTTCGAGTACAAAAATGTCCTCGAAGCCTGTACAGCCATCAGTTAAACCTCCATCAAGACCCGCAACGGCAGTGACAAAGACCACCGCGAAACCAGTCGATAGACGGCCTTTACCTGACAAAAGAGTACCAGATAAAAGGCCACTGCCAGAGAAAAGACCAAATCAGCAACAAGGTGTGAAGCGCAAGCACGAAAGCGAGCCACCGGGACCTTCGAAACAGGTACCACGAATCCTGGTTTTCTACTTCGCTAAAACCTTTTTGAAACAGAGTAAGCCTCTTGTAAGCCATTCCAAGCCACAGCCGAAGACCGCGATCACGAAAAATAAGTCGCTGATCGACCGCAGACATGCGTTTCGAGACCTTTCTAGCGACAGTGACGAGGATGAGGAGAGGGGCATCGTCAAATTGCCAAAACAATTCCGGTATGCGAAGCTAACTTTCGTGGATTCCTTGCCACAAGTGATGTCTCTTCTGTTTGTTTTCAGGCTTTCAAGGCGTTACCGGGACGATGGATATGATTCCTCGGATTCTTCCAACATGGAAGTCGGGTTTAGTGCGATCCAAGCGGAGGAAGCGCGAAGGTATGTATTCTTTGCTCTCGAGAAGAAGCGGTACTAAACTCCTCCTCCTTGTGTGAATCAGTGCTCGAATTGCTCGCCAGGAGGACGAAGAACAGCTCAAGTTAATCGAGGAGGAAGAACGGCAAGAAAGATTGCGTAAGAGAAGGAAAGCGTGAAACGAGCCATGTACATTTGATTCATTGAAGGTATGCTTCGACATAAAGGATATTCTTTTTTTAAACGTAAAGGATGTTTATCCTTAACCTGGTAGATGCCACGTGCCCTTAGAATATTCTCTTGACACTTAGGAGGTTTGACTTAAACCTGGTAATTTTAACGGACGGTTTTAGTAGGATTTTGCCACGTGTTTTTCTTTCTCGAGCTCGGCTATGTCGATCGCGAGGATTGTGGCCAAGTTCCAGTGCTCGAGGGGGGCGGCGACGGCGGCGCTAGCGTCGCCAGGAGTTCCAATTCCATCGCCAGGCTCCCCGCCGCCTCGCCCATCGGAGGCTCCGACTCCGAGCCCGCCAGTTCCAGAGATTCCGCGCGTTCCTCCGGGATACCCAGGCACCGATCCGCCCCAGGATGTTCCTCCCATTCCTCCCACGCCGGATCTCTATCCGCCAGGCCCGGAGATCCCAAATCCATCGCCGCCAAGGCCAGAGATGCCTGGGAACTTCCCGCCCCCGGCATACTGTTGAGTGCTAGGTCCTAGCGAAGAAGTTTCCTCTTGTAAAAATCACCACCATTTCCAGAAATCCAAAGCTTTGCCTGTGAGTCTTAGAACTTCGAGTCGATGATCAGCCAAGGGGTTTCATACGTACCAATTATGTACATTGAATGGATCAGTGTGTAGTTTTGTACAAGAGTTTAGAAGAAGGTCCAACTGTAGTAAGCTTTCTCGACGATGCCACCGCCGCAGCGAATTGCCTGGTTGAGATTTTCCAGGCCAGGCGGTACTCCCCACAGCAATGGAATCGCTACTGTCATCTTGAGCTTCTCGTGGAGATCGCTGGACGTGAGCTTGGCAGCGATAACAACCTGTGACAAAACAAACAAAGATCATCGCAAGAAGTTCACGCCATTTTCGATCCATACCTCTCCGCCTTGTTCTAAAACCGTGTCTTCGACAACGTCGCTGAGCATCTCCACGGAGCGGCAAAAGCCAAAGACGCAGAACCGGCGGCCTAAATCCAAACCCTGCATCGAAAGTTCCGTTGGATCTATAATCTAGGAGAAGATCACACGAGAAGCTTACGTTTGTAGCAGCGATATCAAAGACGGCACCGAGGCAGAGCTCCTGCTTGGGATCCATGTACTGCTCTTCGCGAAAGCGCCGTAGTCTTTGTTTCTTCTATCCAAAAAGAAAAAAAGAAAAAGTGAAGAGAACACTGTCGAAAGGAAAAATCCACTATTCATACCCTCGAAGAACTCACGGGACGTGCAAATCTGGAGCCCCCAATTCGCACAAGCCCTTCGCTAGTGAAGAGAGTGATGGTGTCTCCTTGCATCCATTCGACAGCTGCCATAAACAATCGAACTGGTTTGAGTGCCTGTTGATCCGATAGAAGAGCATTACACACAAATTCCACGGGGGTAAAACAAGGAAATCCAAAGAAGAAAAAACTCACCATCGGAGTTTTGCCACGAAGAATCCCATGGATACGGCCCATACGAATCTTCCGAGCTGAGATTATCGTCGCTGGAAGCACACGGGCGCGCCGACCTCCTGCCACTCGCGCTGCCTAGCATGAGATTGGACCCGTCAAACCTGGCGTGAAGGGGCGATCTTCGTGTAGAGCTGTGATGAATCCACGGGCCTTGAAATCCAGCGCCTAGATTGAATGGCTGCGAGAGCGCTAGAACATCCATAGGGCTTCCCAATGGCCGCATTCTCTTTCCCTGGAATCACAGACCATACCAAGGAGAAGCCCTAGGACTATCGCTTTGGAAATCTGACGGTTTGATTTCCTTATTACGATCTCGCCACGTGTTATAGAATTTTCGTGGAAGACTGTTCCGTGCTTGCGCGTTCTTCGCACGTCCAATACTGCGAAAAATCCCGGCCGCCCAAGTGATTATACTCATACCAAAATGCTCGAAAGAGTTCAAGATATAAGGATTTTCACTACACTTTAAGTAAAGATCAATTGTAAAAGCTTAATCTTTGGCAATAGACATAAATAAAAGCAATGATCTTCTTCAGCTTGATCTTTCTAATGAGAAGAGCTCTCAGCACTGAAGCACAGCAGTATTAGCAACAGAACACTATACCATGGTCATGGATTCCAAAAGCAGTAAAGGTTGTAAATTTTCAGTTTAAGAACCCTAAAATTTCAAACTTGTTTCGCGCGCATTGGTTTCATGCACTCACTTATTCCTACGATTTTGTGGTGACACCCTGGAGCAAATGGGATCTTCCAGCCCCTTCTAGAACAAATATAAGCCCAGGCCCCTTCTCAATTCTGTATCCCATTCCCAACCCTTCTCCACAGTAGCACTGAACGCCCGAGCTTTTGAATCCCCTCTCACATTTGTCTTCTGTTTCTCTTTTGTGTTTTACAGATGACCTTCTTGGCTGCAAGGTGCCGCGTCGGGAATTTCATCGGCATGCCTGGTGTATCCTGATTAAGCACCACACCGATATTGCACAATATCACCAACAATGGCGTGGTGCTTAATCAGGATCCCGTTCGGAAAGTCGTTGTTTCTCACGGAAATAGAATATCTAGATCTAACGGCAGCTGTAACACCTCTGAGAGCACCACGAATGGAGATGGCTCCGTCTTTGTCTAGTGGGTACACACTAACGAGCGCTCTACAGAGTCCTGGTCCTGCTCATTGCGATACTGGTCAGCTCTTCCATCAAATCGGGTAGGACTAGGAACATGATTGGCGGCTCGCAGCTAAAGAGCATCATGGACATCAGCCGTGGTCGTGGACATGGAGTGCTTCACGAGCGAGGTGAGAGGCTACGCGTGCAGTAGTCGCAAGAATCTCTTTGGCGTTGAGGAGTCTTCTGGTGTGACCATAAGGGTGATCCATGATTTCCACAATCTCAAACTGATATTGCTTGAGGGATAATAGGCTAGAGGCTAGACCATCCCAAAGAGAACTTTCTAAATGCTCGTCTCCCTCCTTTCAAAACCTCTGTGTGTAGATGTCCTACGTGTTGAAGGCCTCTACGTGTTGCAACTCCCTAGAGTTCTCGGCACCGGTGATGATCTCGAGCATGGAGATTGCTTCCTGCGGCATGAGGACAGTGAGAGGCTTGCCACTGGACGAGCATGCCCCTGCAACCTGCATCTCCAACATGTTGCGCTTGGTTGAAATGCCCGAGTCGAGCTGCTTTATCGTGACGTGATGCTTTCTTTCTGAATGCGAAGAACAATCCTTTAGAGACGAAAACGTAAAAAGAGTATCGCAAAGGTACCTGAGCGGAGCTGTCTGCTTCTACCATCCCTGAGTTTCGCCCTCTTCTCCTTGGACTGATCCGACTTCGCTTGGAGGTGGAGGATGGCGGTGGTGGTGGCATACTTTATATGGTATGTCTTCTCTGCTGAATTGCTTAGAACGATCTTCCATCTCCAGTGCGTCCATCTTCGAGGACTTCACTCTCACGTCACTCTCCAACCTGCCTCTGGCCACCACTTTGTTCTTGAGCTCTTTCACAAGGTTGTCCTTCTCTGCCGTGATGCTTGGACAAGTTTTGAGCCTTCAATGGTAGGCACTACTGCTAGTGACTTCTTTCCTTCTGCAATGTCAAGTCTGTGATTTTCTTCGTGATGCTCTACTGCCACCAGACTTTCTTTCTCGTGCTGATTTCTTTCTCAAGCCTTTCTTTGTCTATGAGCCTGCTCACCGACGTTCCTCGCAATTGATAGAGCTCTCGAAAAATCGGGTCCGCTAAGACCTAAATTTCAAACTCGCACTTCGTTTGTCTTCGTTTGTTTTAGTTTGATTTCATTTGAATTCATTTGTTTTTGTTAGACTGTATTTGAATTTGTTTGTTCTTGTTTGACTTCGTTTGATTTTGTTTGACTTCTTTTGTAATCTGGTTATAGCTTCATTTACGAATTCCGTTGGTTATGGCGGACATGTTAAGGCCAATGCGTTGGCGGGGACTGTAAGAGGGAGCGAAGCGGCACCCTGCTGCCAAGAAGGAGCGCAGATGATTCATCTGTAAAACACAGAAGACAAATGTGAGAGGGCGCCCATTCGACTCAAAAGCCCCGCCTGGAGAAGGGATGGGAATAAGGTACAGGTTTGAGAAGGGGCATTTCTCAAGAGGATGCTCTTGGAAGCTCCCATTTTCACCAAAAAACCGTAAGAGTAAGACAAACAGACACATGGCATGCGATTGACTAAAAAAATTATTTAAGATTCCAGAATATTCATCTACATCTTTACACCATGGAATGGCCAGATGGGGCATCAATGCTGACCCTGGCCACTTGGAGCCCAGCCTAGGCCAAAATTTTCTTCAAGGTAGCGGGAAGTCCAAGCATGATAGCTGGCAGGGCAGCCACCAATCGGAGGGCTGCAATGGTGGTAGGGCAGCGAGCAAGTTTAGTCAACACTGTGTGGGCAACACCAGACACTAATAGTGGTGATCAGGGCATTGGATGTGTGATAAGGCATGTAGCTAAGAGCAAGGTGACACTGGACTCTACTGTAGAATAATGGTGAGTAGGGCATTGGATGCACAGTGTTTAGTGCAGTGGTATACCAGAGAGCTATTGAAGTTTGCGATAGCCTTCCTTTTATTTCTTTTTTTCTTGAGGCTTTTTTATTTACACAATATCTAGATACCATTTGCAAAATGGGCAAAAGGCGACAGACAATTCCAAATATTGAAGAGCCATTAGAACTGCATGTGAAAGTTGTGGCAATTCAAGGCACCTCACCCATGGAGCTTTCTGAGTGCACATACATGAGTTTTTTTACAGCAATAAATCGCTATTTAAATATTATCTGAAGCCGGTGTTGAAGCTGGTGTTATGACATCATTATTTAGCACAATAGCTTCTTCATCCACCGTAGCTCGTCAAGACTTTCCCACGCCATCTCAAGCTACAAACAAGGTTCCTAGTGGTTCCAAGTATTGTGCGCTTTAGGCATTTACAGAGTCTAGAGACTCCCTTTGCTCAGGTACTTCCAAAATTTTAGTTTTATTTGCATGGAGTCATGCATTGTGTTATGTAGCATTAGTTGCTTCTGTCCATGCAGCAGCAAAATCTAACATGCATCAACACAAGACAAAATGTAAGAGAGCTTTAGCATACAATACCAATCAAAGTGGTTGTAAACGAAATGCCAATATGAACTTCCAAGGAATGTCTAGAGCTCCTATCAACACAATGGTCACCAAGTGGATTATGATTCCAAAAATGTTTGAAGCTGGCACCTTCTTCCATGATGGTGTCCTTAATGTCTGCCTCCTTTCTTTGGCTTTAATCTCTATTTTCTTACCAAAAAATCTACTATAGACTCCCTCAATGGTGCATACAATCTTGATATTGTGCAAGAACATGTATTACCAACACTCAGCTTTGGAGTTCTGATGGAGTGTGCAAACAAGCTTGGCTTGTTTGTGAGGCAAGCTAGGAAGGCAAAGACTGCTGCTACCAATGTAGAGAGGTATGGTTTAGGGAGTATATTACCAGATTACCACCTAGCAACAACTTTGTTAAAGGGCATTAGTTATCTATCTTTATAATCCAAATAAGCATTGGATGCTAAATGATAGAACAAGCTATGGTGATGTCTTTTTTTTTCATGCTTTACTTTACATTGAACTATGTTTTGCAAGAGGAGCTTAATGCATGTCTAGTGACATTGTTTTAAATGATATATGCATTAGGGAGGGGCAACACGAACAAGAGCAAGAGAGCCAATTTAACAATACCAACAGCTTTTTTGCAATTAGAAAATTACCTATTTTCATTTAAAAATTTTGGTTTGTTAATATTGACTTAAGTGTCTAAAGCTAAGCAAGTACTATAATATAAAAACCTACAACTTATATGTCCCAATAACAGATGCCTACCTTATTCCCTGTGGAGGAAAAAAAAAGAATTACCTCTTCCAAATCAAAAAGGAAGGGATTTATCTTCAGCAACTCCCATCATTATTTGCCATATCAGCCCCGATCAGATCTCCTACCAAGGAAAAAGAAGAGATGCACCAAAGCATCTTACTAGCTCGTACATTTAATCCTACTCTCACTCCTACCAAGATCAATGTGCATCCAATGCCCTGCTCACCACTATCCTATAGTAGTGTAAGGCATTAATTCTCCCTAGAGCAAAGGAGAATATGCCCTCTTGAGGCCAAGGGGCATTTTCAAAGGCTTAATCGATTTGCTAATGGGCTGGCTTTGAGCACACAAAGGCAGCCTCAATCCTTTTCAGTGAATATTGGGTGTCAATTGTGGCTGGAAGCGCTCTTGCATGCTTGATAAATGGAAACTATGATATGTTCATGTGGAACAAGGTCAGGCTATGTCGCCTTGGAGTACTCTATCAGAAAAAAAAAGAAAAAAAACCTAAAACAAATTCCCAATACACATGCTCTTCTATCTACAGCAATCATCAAGGTAGTAACATGTTTGGAGTTCTCGGTGATGATCCCAGCTGCCATTGGACGAGCATGCCCATGCAACCTGCACCTCCAACATGTTGCGCTTGGTTGAAATGCTCGAGTCGAGCTACTTGATCATCGACGCGTCTTTCTGGATACATTTGAACCTCTCTCAAGTATGTCATGACAAACCTTTAGAGATGAAAACATAAAAGAGGTACCTGAGTGAAGCTGCTTGTACTCCTTAGGGAACTCAGAGATGGTAGAAGCAGACTTAATCTGGATTTGCAACGACTGCTTCTAGGTTGATTAACTTCGCTTCGAGGCAGAGGATGGCAGCAGTGGCGAACCTAATTTCTTCTTCCTTGGATCCCTGCTGAATTGCTTAGAACGATCTTCCATCTTCTCCAATGCGTTGATCTTCAGGGGTGCCACCACTTTCTCCTTGGAGCTCTTTCACAACTCTACTGTGATGGCTTTAGACAAGTTCTCCTTCACCGGGAAGAAATGCTAATGACTTCTGTCCTTCTGTGACGTCAAGTCTGTGGCTATGCTCTACCATAGACTTTCTTCTTCGGCCTGATTTCTTTCTCAAACCTTTCTTTGTCTGTGAGCCTCCTCACCGACATTGTCCTCCCAGTTGATGACCTGAGCAGCATGACAATACAGTTTGCCATGGCCCACAAGCCCTGTTCTTGCTACACTCTCAGGAGATCGGATGCTGGGAATCTTCTAAAGCCTTAGATTGTTTTGAATCTTATTTCTTGCTGTTCTCTGCTCTTACCACAAGGCATGCGATAGCTTGGCATAGAATAGAGGCCAATGAATTACCTTTTGTTCCATTGTCGCTTGCCATTAGGGTAACACTAGTTTACCATTTGTTAATAGAGAATATTTCCTAACTATTTAAATTACCCTGGAAACCAACTTTTTAGGGTTCTTGCAATGGACAATCCAAGGGGCTGCAATGAAACTTATGAGCAAGTTGTCCATGATATGGTTGTCCAGGCTTTCTATCGGCAAACACGAGCGAGATGAATTCCACCTGTATTTATAATTTTGTAACTGAATATAACTCTAAAGGGATTCACCTGGATTTGACTGGAGGGGGGCAGCTTCTTTTGGGGGGTTCAAACTACCATGGCGAGGGTAACATCATTCACATGGAATTGCATAGTAATGTGATATGGCATGTTTAAATAAGTACAATACACCACTTGGTTGGAGACATGGGTCTGCCATAGTCTTCCATCGTCTCCTTGGTCTTTATATTTCTTGACCATGTTCCAAACATTTAACAAAACCATCAAAACATTATATTGTTTGAGCCAAAACAATCGAATGAGAAGCATGCTCCAGAGATAATGCTAAGTAGCACAACTGTGACAGTGCCAGCACTACTCTTTATGTACTTGCAGTATATATATTTAAATTAGTGAGAACAAAAGTTCATGGTCATCCATGACATTGGAAGTCTTTGGCATTTGCCATGTAGAAAGGTGTCGACCCACGATTGAAATTTGGCTAAATGTTGGGGCTGTGGCCACGTGGAAATAATTAGGGCGCACGCTGGGGCGGGAGGAGCCGCGACAGACGGGAGAGGGAGTGCTGGAGAAAAAACAAAAAGAAGGTATAATGCCACGTCACTGCCAGGTAAGTGGAGAGAGTGAATCATGTTTTTTTGGGCCGTCCGTCTAAAGATTCTCCAGTATAGTCCGGTTCCTAAGCTTTCGAACTTGTTTCGCGCGCATTATTCTTCTCACACAAACTCAAGGCACGAACTTATTCTTGCGATTTTTTGGTGACACCCTGGAGCAAATGGAAGCTTCCAGCCCCTTCTAGAGCATGCCCTCAGGCCATATAAGCCCATGCTCCTTCTCAATTCTGTATCCCATCACTTCTCCGGAACACCTTCTCCTTTCTCCACAATACCTGAGAGGTAGGTTATGGCGTTCTCTTGATTTTGGGGTTTTTGAAGCGAGTGGGCGTCCTCTCTCACATTCGTCTTCTGTCCCTCTTTTGTGATGCATCTTGTGCACTCCCTCTTGGCAGCAGCCCTGTTTCACCACGCCATTGGTGATGGAGGTGTCGTTGCCAAGGAAACTTTCCTTGGCTTTCCTTGGCGACGACACTTCCGCCATCACCAATGGCATGGTGCTCAAAAATAGTTTGGAATACTGCCAGCCAAGGAAAATCATTTGCATCAACCACAAGCAACAAAGGAAGTAAGAGAGGAGGAAGAGGAGGAAGCAAGAGAACATTTTGGCACTCTCAGTGTGTTGCTCAGGCAAGTTTAATGTTGTTCCTCCTCTGTTGGCCTCCTTTGTTGATTGTGATTAGTGCGGTCCTCCATCTTCTCCAGTGCATCGATCTTCAAGGGCTTCATTTCACGCCACTCTCAAGCCTGCCTTTCGCCACAATTTTCTCCTTGAGCTCTTTCACAAGGTTGTGCTTCTTTGGCTGTGATGGCTTTCAGTTGCTTCGACAAGTTCTTCTTCACTGGGAAGAAATGCTAGTGACTTCTTTCCTTCTGCGACGTCAAGCCTGTGGCCACTACCGCAGACTTCCTTTCTCGGCCACAGAGCTGCTGATTTCTTTCTCAAACCTTTCTTTGTCTGTGAGCCTCCTCACTGACGTTGTCCCGACCTCCGCATGCACAGAGAATACATTGCCACCAGCGTGTTTGCCACGGCCCACAAGCTCTGTTCTTGCTACACTCTTAGGAAGTACAGAAGACTCCACCGCGAGATCGGATGCTTGAATCCCTTTAGTGATATTAAGTTTCGGCGATCCTGATTCCATGGGCTTTGAAATCCAGCGCCCAAAATGAATGGAGCGATCCTCTTTCCGCTAAACAAAAAACAATCTTAAGTTAAATGTTTAAATACAAAACTAATCTAAACATAGTAACTTTAATGCCGAGAGTTAGGGTTCTTGGCAGCTATGGAGGCTGTGATATTTGGCGACGAGGCGGTGCCTCAGATGCTTCTTCTCCTCTCCCAGGCCGCGCGGGATATCGGCGCTCTGGACCTCTCGTCTCCGCCTGCGAGGAACAAGAACCCGGTCTCCGCGCCATCGAAATCCAGGTATCATCGCGCATTGCTCCGAGAAGCGCCAAGATCCAGCAACAATGCCCTGGAAGCTAGGCTTCTCCAGGGGGCCTGCTCGGTCTCTCTTAGCAGCAGGGCGGCCCAAGATCGACCAGAGAGGGAGATGGATCCATCTCCATCGGCAAGGTCAAATTCGAATTTCGAGAAGTACAGGGTCTCTGGCCAGGCTAGAATCCTCATGAACAATCTCACAGTTCTAGAGCGAGCGGCGATCGGCGCTGCTGCCGGAGGAATCGCTGGCGCTTTTACCTACGCTTGCCTGCATCCGCTAGACACGATCAAGACGCGGCTCCAGACGCGAGGAGCGGCAGAGGCGTACAAAGGCTCGATCGACGCAGCGGTGAAAATCCTCCAGAGCAAAGGCCTGGCGGGGTTTTACAGCGGGATCTCGGCCGTGATCGTCGGCTCCATGGTCTCCTCCGCGATCTACTTTGGAACTTGCGAGTTTGGGAAGTCCTTCCTCTCGAAGGTGGCGAAGTTCCCGCCACTGCTCGTGCCGCCGGTGGCCGGAGCCATGGGAAACATCGTCTCGTCGGCCATCCTCGTTCCAAAGGAGGTGATCACGCAGAGGATGCAAGCCGGTGCCAAGGGAAGATCCTGGAACGTCTTAATGAGAACTCTGGAGAGGGATGGACTGAAGGGGCTCTACGTCGGCTACTCGGCAGCTCTGCTCAGGAATCTACCGTCGGGGGTGATCAACTTCTCCACCTTCGAGTACCTGAGAGTGGCGTGGCTGCGAGTCTCGGGCCAGGATAGCTTGGAGCCATGGCAGAGCGTGAGCTCGGGAGCTCTGGCCGGTGCCATCGCTGCGGCGCTGACGACCCCGATGGACGTCGTCAAGACGAGGCTGATGACGCAATCGAGAGAGAGGGCGGCGGCGTTCACGTACGAGGGCGTGACGAGAACGCTGGAGAGGATCTGGATCGAGGAAGGATGGGCCGGGGTGACCAGAGGCATGGGTCCACGGCTGCTCCACAGCGCTTGCTTCTCGGCGATTGGGTTCTTTGCGTTTGAGACGGCGAGGTTTGAGATTCTCAAGCGCCATGTCGCCAACAAGCAAGCGGAGGTGTTGGAAGTGGAAGTCGACGAAAAGAAGTGAAACAAAGTTTTGAGCTCGAGCCTCAGAAAAACTAAATGGTCAACGGTCAATGAAATACTGCTCTTTGGTCAATGGTCGCTAGGCTTCTTGGTTTAGGGTTTGATCGCAATGCCGGAGAGTCAGATGGCTGTGGTGGCTGTGGCGGCGGTGGCCGCGATCGCCGTGGGTGGAGCTGCGATCGCATTCATGTACCATTGCTGCCAAGATCAGGTGAAGCGGCAAAAGAAGGAGAAGGTTGAGAGAATCAATTCGCAATTGGGGATTCGCGACGAGGATGCGCACCACCGCTACGAGCGGCGGGAGGAAGTGGATGTGGTGGAGATCGGGAAGGCCAAGCGCCCGGCGGTGAGGACCGTGGAAGAAATCAAGGCGTACTATGGCCGGCCTTCGAGGAAGGTGAGTTTTTTTTTTCTAGATCTGAGCAATGGTGTGATTGGAAAATCTCAAATCGCAGGACGCGTCATCCACCGCTGGAATCGCCACAGAGGCCAAGAACAAGCTCATGGAGCGCGGGGAGAAGCTTCAGGTTTTAAAAATCCCTTGTGCTTTCCATATCAATGTTTCCATTCTTTGTGTGCTTCTATGTAGGCTGTCAACGACAAGACGCAAGAGCTTGAATCAGAGGCCGAGAGCTTCGCATCGCTGGCGGAAGAACTCGCCAAGAAAATGAAGGCTAGAAAATGGTGGGAGTTGTAAACTTTGTAAATGAATTCCTCTTGTGTAAGTAAGAACAGGGAGATTGTATATCGGATTGAATCTATTTCGACCCTTTCCGCGACCGCGCGAACAATCCTTCGACCATTTCCAATCTCTTGAACAGGACGAGCGACAAGATGAGCAATCCCAGCGACGCTCCCGTGCAAATCACGATGATCTTCCCGAAGTACATGTTATCGTCGGTTTCGTGGCCATTGGGCACATTCATGCCAAACAATCCAGTGATGGAGTTGAACACGCTGGTGATACAAAAGGTGGCGGCCGCGATCACGAGCATGGAAGTCTCCCTCTTGGCGCTCGCCTCTGCCATTCGCGACTTAGCAACCTCCTCCACGCACTCGATCGTGGATTTCTTGCAGTGCTTCAATCCCTGGTTGATCCCCGCTAGGAGTGGCTTGTACGCGCAGAGAGCCCTCGCGAGATCTTGGTTGCCACCATCGTCATTCTCGTAGAGGGCGGATTGAATGTTCCTCGCGATCGCGTATGTGGATGAGATCTCTTGCTTCAACTGTGCTGTCGCGATTCTAACTGTGGGGAGATCACCCACGCAGCAATTTGATGCCTGGCACCGCAATACCTCCGCGCGACCCACAAGATTGGCCACCCGAGGGCCTAGAAATCGCCACACCTCGTCAATCCCACTCGCCAGAGCTAGAGACTGGAAAGCAGTGGGAGTTCTCCTATCGATCGACGAGTTTTCGCTAGAATTGTTGATAGATCGAAGCTTGGACCCGAGATCCTCGATGTAGGCATTGGCGAGGCCACTATCTAGCACAAAGACCTCGCTCCCGGCGATGATACAGCACAGATACTCGAGATTCATGACGATCACCCCCCAGTAATTCGCGACTGTCACCATCGAGCTTTGGGACACAACAAAAGGAGGCACTAGAGGGAATCGCTGGTTGATATCGTTGGTGTCGAGTGGCCACGCCTGGATCTTTCCTGCCGAATCCATCCTCTTCCACGCTCTGGCAGACATTGCGATCGCAAAAAGGCTCCACCATTTATCAATCCTTTGTGCCTGCCCTATTTTAGATTCCGCGCCGTATTTTAAATTCAATTTGATCCCGATCCAACGGCCTCGATTCGAGCTAGGGCTAATCTATTTTTCCTGTTAATATATTTGCTTGTGTAATCGTAAACATAATTATAGAAAATTTTAAAGGAAATTTTACCTTTTATATCATTTTTTTATTCTATAAAGCAGTTTTCAGATTTTCAAGTTCCAGGATGCCTCAGTCTTCAGGTTGTTAGCGGCTTCACCGCTCAGTGATGGAAACCTATTTAGCACTACAGCGTGTGAGCCAAAAGAGATATTTTTTAATGTGGAGCGAAGAGAGATCCCTACCAGCCAATTGCACCTGGAACTCCCCACACAATTTTGAGGCACACAGGATGTGCATAGATTGTGGATGTCTCCTCTAGATTCCTCTCTTGCCTGTGGATGTCTCCTCAAAAGTTCCTCTCCTTGCTGCATTGTGATGCCTCCCGTTAAACACCTCCCATTAAACACCATCCTGTTTCAGTGTCTCTCCACGTAGCTGGCAATGATGTGGCATGATTACATGGCACTTCTCTCTTTCCACTCCCGTCCGACTCTCTCTCGAGTGCTGCCACACAACAATACTTCTAATCACTTAACTTGGACCAAAGTCTATTTCAGAGGACAGAAAAAAGGGTTCTTTTCCTTTGCACCCAATGCCAACCAGTGTGTAAATATCTCTTTGCTTTGCTCTTCAGGATTGGTGGACTTTGGGATACCCTCTTCTGTAGGGGGTTTTAAGTTCTTCTTTGGAATGGAAATGCTCAGCAGCAGCAGTAGCTCGATTAGAAGTGCTCTTTTTTTTTGCTCTCCAAGGGGCAAGCAATAATGATAAAGCACATGATTTTATTTCTAACACACTGGGCGAGATTCCAAACATGGTGGATTTGATGCTGAGACTGGATATATGAAGCGCCTCCCGTTAAGTCGGAGACCTTTCAGGCACCTTATAAAACTTTGTCTCTATGTATAACTTTGTTTTAGACATTTGTATAATGATTACAAACTTGGTAATGGATATATCTAGAATATGCTCCAATGGTAAATATGCATATTTTTATAAATTAAAAACATGTTTAAAATTTATAATCATTCTTAAACATCTAAGAAATATACCATGAATATCCAGGTATATCCTAATATATATTTTTTTTCTCTTAAACTTTTAATTCTCTAATTCGTTTGTAATCAGTGTTTAAATTTATTTTTCTACTTTATATTTAATATAAACCATGTTTAAATTCATAACTGTTACTGAAATCTTTCAAAGAAAAGAAAAAGAAAAGGAAATGTGCATTACTACCACTTGATTTGCTTGTAATATGAGAATTTAACTTATCAGGACATCTTTTTAATGTATTTCTTCACAATTCTTCCCATTGGAAGTGGTGAATTTAAATCTTTGCACTTGAATGTATCTAAGAATTAGAGGAACCTACTATTAAAGCTACTAAGGGCTGCAAGATCATCACCACCATTGTTTATGATAGGACTAAGGTTTCCAAGTCTTAGATCACCTAAAAAATGAAGGCCTTCCCACCACCTTCCCACCAATGATGATATTGATATAAGAAATTTTCAATTGCATTTTATCTAACCATCAAGTAGAGATTGAGAACTTCCATGCCACCTCTACCACTAACACAGCCTAAATCAAGAGGATGTACTCATATATGACTACTCCAAATTCAAGACTTTATTTCAGCAAATCCCATGATTTGGTTGTGTTCTTCAAACCTAGTGACTCTTGCTATATTTCTAGAAGAATCTAGGGATGTAAGAGATTATAATCAAAATTTATAGATAAATAATAATAATAATACCTATTGCATCATTAAATATTGAAACTTTAATTAGAAAGATGTTTTTTTTCATGTTTTAGGAAAAGAAAATATCAAAATTATCTTTTAATTAATATAAAATTAGACTTTATGTTTTGTTGCAATTTCCTTGGTATAATAGTTTAGCTTGACCATGGAGTGGTAATTGATTCATCACAAAATAGGAGAACTTAAATTCATGCACCAATTTTTAATGCATGTTTTTATATGAAATTTAATCTAACTAGTGGATTTTGATTTATAATTTTGTTATATCTTTCCTTCTGGCACTAAAGAAAAGTATGTAAAATTCAGAAAAAAAAACTCTTAGATTTTTAATGCAAAGACAATGGGGAATAATTGTATAAAAGATAATTTTATGTTAAAGCTAATTCCAGAAACTAATTATAGTATTACATATTATCATAAATAAAATTTTATTACAGAAATTTAATATGTATAAATTAAAATATGAATGTGATACTAACTAATATTTATAAGGTTTAGAAAAATATAAGTTTATTTTTTTATTAAAAGCACAATTTTGATAGTATAGTTTAACCAATTTAATATAAAAGTGATGGTAAAATGTAAAATTAAACTTTAACTAAGAAAAATATTAAATTTAACTTAAATTTCTGCATAACTTATAATTTGTTATAAAAATTCAATTATAGCATTTCTTAAACAACTAAAAATAAAAATAAATTTTTTATTTATGATAGATATTTGAGTCTTATTGGATATGAATTTATTTATTATCTATAGTTTAAGTAAAATTTTTGAGTACTTAATACATCATAATTAAGCATAATTTTTCATAAAATAAATCATTATTAAATATTTAATTTATATAAATGTATATGATAATTAGAAAAACTTGTACTTGAAGGAAACAGATTTAAATTAGATACTAAAATTCATTGATAAAACATAATATATTCCAAAATATTTAAATTTATATGAGAGTCATTTTTATAATTTTAAATTGACTTAATACTGATCAAACCATTACTAAAGTTGAGGTATTTTACTCAATTTCATTAAGGTTGGTAATGTTTTTTTGGCGTTTAAGGAACTCCCAATATAAATCTAATAATAATCTTTATGAAGATTATGTTGAATTTAAAATTTGTGATTAAAATATTAGATTTATTTAAACATATAATGTTTCTATTTTATATTTCTAAATTGATGTTTTTTTAAAAAAATATATTTTGTTTAGTTATAAAATACATTTTTAACAATATAATTAAATATAATTAAATGTTAATTTTTGTGAAAAATTTATGGTACTTATGTTAGGGTTAGGCTTAATAAATAAGCACAACAGAGCAAAATTTCTTCATAAACATTGGCAACTCTGGAAAATATGAAGTCACATAAATATTTATTTATATTCATATCTATGTGTTTATTTAGTTTTTTTAAAATATTATTTTAATAGTATTAGTATCTCTTAAAAACATTTGAGAAGAAGTTTATTTTTAAATTCTAAATATAAAGAGTATTTTTACATAGTTTTTTCTAAAATTTAGTCTATGTAATCATGAAATATATAAATTAAAATATTAAAGTGTCAAATAGTAAAACTAATTCAGATGTGAAATTTATCGCTTGATCTAAAGAGTAATAAAAATGTTATAAATAATAATTTTATAGAATTTATTTAGAAATATTATAAATTCACTATTGTTTATTCTTCCATTAAAATTTTTTTTCTTAATTGACTTTAAGAAAATGTTTTTGACATATATAATCTAAGTTTATATTTATGAGCTTTTACCAATTTAATTATAGTTTTTAAGTTGCAGAAAATATTTAACCGGAGTTCTCTGCATAGATGTTAGACAGGAGCGTGTAGGGAGTATCAAGAGCTTGGCGATGGAGGAGCACAAACTTGGAGGCCCTCTCAGCTCTAGCACGGTCACTGTGCGTCTTACATGCGCTCAGCAAGATCGTCCAGGACACAAGATCAGGAAGAAACGGCATGCCAAGTATGAGCTCCTCGGCCTCCTCGAGCCTCCCGGCCCGCCCCAGCGCGTCCAGCACGCAATGGTAGTGCTCCACCACCGGGACGATGGCGTGATCCTGGATCATCGCTCGAAACTGGCGCACCCCCTGCGCCATCTTCCCGACGTGGCTGGCCGACGTGAGGATCGAAACCATCGTCACCGCGTCCGCCTCCATGCCCTCCAGCTCCATCACCCGGAACAGCTCCAGCGACTCCTTGTAGCGAGCGGTGCGAGCATACGCCGCGATCATCCCGTTCCACGACACCGTGTCGCGCACCGGCATGGCATCGAACAGCTCCTTGCCTCGATCCACAAGCCCGTGCTGGCAGAAGATCGCGATCATGGCGTTCCAAGGCAGTACCAAGCTCTTGTGATGAACCGGCATCGTCTCAAAGAGCTCCACTGCCACCGAGAGCTGCCGGTTGTGCGCGTAGGCCAGGATCATCGCTGTCCAGGTGACCGCGTCCCTGTCCGCCACCCCGTCGAAGATCTTCTTGGCTCGATCCAGCTCGCCGTGCTGCGCGAACGCCGTCAGCATCGCGGTCTTGGCAACCGACGTTGGCTCCGGCATCCTCTCGAAAAGAAGCTTGGCCGACTCAAGCTCCCCGGCCTGAGCATACGCCTGGATCATGGTCGTCCACGAGATCCTGTCACTCTCCGGCATCGCCTCGAAAAGCCCACGAGCCTGGCTCAAGCACCCGGCCTCGGCATTCGCAGAAACCATCGCGTTCCACGACACCACGTCCCTCCCCGGCATCAGACCGAAGAGCTCCCTGGCTTGATCCAGCTGCCCGTTGCTGGAGAAGGCTGCGATCACTGCGTTCCACGACACCACGTCCGGCTCTGGGATCCGGTCGAAGAGCTCTTTGGCCTGGACCACCCTCTTGCTCACTGCGTATGCCTGGATCATCGAGTTGAGGCACACCACGTCCCACTCAGGCACCCGGTCGAAGACGCTGGCCGCGCTGTGGAGGTCGCCGTGCTGCGAGTAGGCTCCCAGCATCGCTGTGCACGACACCACCGTCCGGCTCAGCATGCTGTGAAAGACGAGCCTCGACTTGTGGAGATGCCCGAGCTGGGCATACGCCTGGATCATCGCAGTGCACGATATCAGCTCGTGCCGGGACATCTTCTCAAACGTTGCTCTTGCCTCGGCGGGACGGTCGGCTTGAGAGTACGCTGTGACGATCGCGGACCACGAGACGAAGTTGAGCTCGGGCATGGCGTCGAACATCCGCTTCGACTCGTCGAGATGCCCGGCTTGGGCATAGGTGGCCATCATCGCTGTCCAGGAAACCACGTCCCGTTGAGGCATCCGGTCGAACAGGAGCTTCGCCGGACCGAGCTCCCCGAGCTGGGCATAGCCTTGGACGATGGAAGACCAGGAGACTATGTCACGCTGTCCCATTCTCTCGAACAAGCACCTGGCGGTGGCGAAGTCCCCGTTCTGGGCATAGGCCGAGATGATGATGTTCCACGAGTAGACGTTGGGCTGGAAGATTGAGTCGAAGACCGAGCGAGCAGCGTCGAGGTTGTGGCATTTGCCATACATCTGGACGAGCAGGTTGGCGAGATATCTGTTGCTCCTGTGCGGGCTCTGCTGGATGCTCGAGTGGAGATGGCTGCCGAGGAGTAAGTCCCTGGCATTCCCACACGACTTGAGGAGCTCGGCAAAGTCGGAGACGGTGGCGTTGCTGAGGTTTCCATGGAGCCGGACTCTCATGCCACTTTGATCCTCCCTCGTCTAGACATCTTTGATCCTAGGTGTAGAAACTGCAAGCAGAGGTTGTTACTAAGGCGCTAGAAACATCAAACTAGCCTTTGGTTTCTCGAGAAGAAGCTGGAGATAATGATACCTTCAACTCGGAGATGGGCGATGTTGGATCAAGACACTAGCAAAGCAAAAGTTTTCGTTACAAGATCAAAACAAAAACTAAAACAAAATCTCACCTTGAATCACTAGAAACATTCTCAAGAGGAGCTAAAGTTCCCTGGAAATGAAACGAAGAGAATGGTCATGACAAGGGAGAGCGAGAGCTACAAACCTTACCCAGAAGAAGAAGAACTTGGCTTCAAGCTCGAGGATCCATTCCATGCTGCCACACGTAGACAGTCTCGTCCCAGGCGGTGCTCGCCAGCAATCCCTCGACGTGAGGACTCATGTCGATCCCAATCGCAAACTCGGTGTGATGGTCATACCGCGCGAGCAGCGCGTCCTCTGGAGCCATGTAGTCCCACATACACACCGTCATATCGTAAGAGCACGAAGCTATGACGCTGGCGTGGTGTGGCGAGAACTTGACCCTCCTCACAGCGTAGCCGTGCCCCTGGAGAGAGCTCATCTCCCGCCGGGGATTCCTCACGTCCCAAACTTTGATCGTCTTGTCCACCGATCCAGAGACGAGCACGCACTCGTTATACTTGCTCCAGTCGCACGCCAAGATCTCGAGCTGGTGCCCCGGGATGACGAGCGATGCGTGAGGATCTCTCACGTCCCACACCCGGAGCGTGCAATCCCCGGAGGCCGTCAGGAACACATCGGCGTGGCGCGGATTCCACACCGCCGTGTAGACGCAGTACGAGTGCTCCGCGAACGTCCGGAGCGATCGCGGCGCGTCGATCGCCCACAGCTTGGCGGTGTCGTCCCAGGCGGAGCTGAGGAAGCAGTCCTTGCGGACGAGATTCCAGTCGACCGAGTTGACCTCGTGGCCGTGCTCCTCGAAGCTGCGGATGGGATTGGCGTGGCGGGGGAGGGCCGTGTCCCAGACCTTGACGCTGCCGTCGGCGCTGGCGGAGACGAGGATGTGCTCGTTGTCCTCGGCCCAGGTGCAATCGTAGAGGCCGTCGGCGGTGTCGAAGCTGCACAGCTCCGCGATGCCGCCCGAGGGATGGAGCTGGAGAACGTACTGGCGGCCGTTGCCGATGATCCCGAAATTCTGCGACGTCGCCACCGCCAGAAGCGTCTCGGAGAAGGGGCTGAATTCCACCGAGTAGCCATTGAAGGCCGCCTTGAACGCCGGCATTGCTAGAGCGAGCTACCTTGTGCCAAGAGCCCTAAATTTCTTTCATTGGGCAATCCGCCAAATCTTCCACCAATTGCTTGAATCTGGATTGATAATCGTGACTTCGCTGCAATTGACCATACCAAGCGATCGCGCTCTAGAATTCCTCCCCCAGCAAGAAAGCAAGATCTCTATTCATGACTATACCCAGCGATAGTGCTCTAGAATTCCAGCAGCTTGCCAAGAACCATAAATTTCTTTCGAATTGAGCGATCGTTCTAGCAAGAACGAGCAAGATTTCTATCATCGATCGTCGTGCAAATGAGAAGAGCCCTAGTGAATAGCATTTCTCCTATTTTATGATCCAGAGAGCCCTGATCAGGAGCAAGAGCGTCGACGATCTCGCGCAACTCATCCGCGCCGCCGGCGACGCCAGGGATCTTCCCCGAGCCGCGCAGCTCCACGCCTCGATCTTCACCAACAGCAACACTTGGAGAAGCGATGATCATCGCTTCCTCGCGAATCTCTTTGTCCAGACCTATGGCAAATGCGGCAGGACCGCAGTCGCGCGCCAGATCTTCAACGCCACTGCCCAGCGCAACGCATACTCCTGGAACAACATCGTTACCGCATATGCCCAAGACGGGCATCTGGAGGAATCGAGCCGGATCTACGCGAAAATGCCCAAGAACAGCCCCATTGCGTGCTCGGCGATGGTCACGGCATTCGCGAAGCACGGCGATTTCCACCGCGCCAAGGCCCTGTTCGATGGAGCGCCCGTGCGAGATCTCGCGATGTGGAACTCCATGCTCTCGGGATTTTCCGAGAGCGGCGATCTCGCTGGCGGCGAGGCTACGATTGAGAGAATGCCGGAGACGAGCGTGATCTCCTGGACAGCCCTGCTCCACCTCCTTTGCCGCCTCGATCGCCTGGAGCTCGCCAAGGATATCTTCGATCGGATGCCCGGCCGCAACGAGCTCGCCTGGACGATCATCTTCCAGGCCTGCGCCGTGAGATCACTTCTCCTCGATGCTAGAGCTGTGCTCGATCGAATGCCCGCGCAGAGCCTCTCGTCGTGGACGGAATTGATGTCGCTCTACGCGGATCACGGCCAGATCGAGCAGGCCAAGGCCGTGTTCTTCGATTCCATGCCCGATCAAGACGTCGTCTCGTGGACAACGATGATCCGGGTGCTAGCGGCGCATGGAGGCTTCGCTGAGGCGGAGGAGATCTTTGCCAGGATGCCGCGGCACGACGCCATCGCATGGACCGCGATTATAGCTGCAAATGCCGAGAAGGGGGATCTGGAGAGGTCGCAAAGGCTGTTCCATCTGATGCCGGAGAGGACGATTGTCACCTGGAACATCCTCCTCCACGCACAGTCCAGAATCGGGGATCCAGACTCTGCGCAACTCGTGTTCGATCGAATGCCGCAGCGCGATCCAGTGTCGTGGAACATCCTCGTCGCGGGCATTGCCGCGCGGGGGCGGCCTGATCGCGCGAACGAGATTCTCGAGCGCGATGCCCCGGAGCGAAGCGTGACGCTCCTCAACACGATGATTACGGCGCTGGCAGAGCAAGGCCGACCCGACGCCGCGAGGAAGCTCTTCGACTCCATGGCGGCCAAGAACATCGTGTCCTGGACGGCCATCATCGCCTCGGGCGCGCTCAACGATCGCCTCGAGATTTCCAAGCTCGCCTTCCAGAGGATGCCGCAGACGAACCTCGTCGCGAGGATCGCGATGCTCTCGGCCTATTCCCTCCACGGTGCCATAGCCGACGCCAAGAAATCCTTCGACGCGCTAGGCAGCTGGAATGCCATAGCCTGGAATTCGCTGCTCGCCGCGTATTCCCAGCACGATCGCCTCGACAAGGCCGAGAGCATGTTCCAGAGAATGCCGAACTGGGATTCTTTCGCCTGGACGACGATGATGACCGCCTATTCCCGTGCCGGGCTGCTCGATCTGGCACTGGGAGTCTTCGATTCCATGCCGGATCGCGATATTATCACCTGGAACGCAGCGATCGCCGCGTTTGGCCAGAACGGGCACCCGGTCACCTCGATCCGCCTCTTCCAGCTCCTCATCCTCGACGGCGCCGAGCCAAACGACGCCTCCTTCCTGAGCGCGCTCACGGCGTGCAGCCATGGCGGCCTCCTCGCCCTAGGCCATTCCATCTTCCTCTCCATCGCGGCGGATCACGGCGCCATGCCGAGCCGGCAGCACTACAGCTGCGTGATCGATCTCCTGGGCCGCGCTGGAAAGCTTGGCAGCGCGCAAGACCTCGTTAAGAACATGCCATTCCTCCCAAACTCCATCGCCTGGGGATCCATCCTGGGCGCGCTCAAGCTCCATTGCCGCCAAGACCAAAGGCGGGAAATTTTGCCCAATTTAAACGAGAGAACCGTACAAATGTTTCAATCTTAGAAATTTTTGGAAGCTCTTGCGAATCGATCTGTGGAGTGTTCCAAAGTGTATAAACAATGTTATGTTAGAAGGAAGAACGCATTGTCTCGCGTCTATAAGTAGCCCATACTCTTTTTGTATTGGAGCTCCTCTTTCCAAGTGACAATATCAGCAATCCAGTCGCCACTGCCACTGCGCTGTGAAAAATCTGTGCGTTTCTTATTGCCAGTAGTTCCAAACACTGCAAACACAATAGATCATAGAACTTGTCACCAACTTGGAAAACTTGTCACAAACTTGGAGTGTACCTTCGTTTAAGCTGCAGCTATTTGCTCCCTTGAAGATCTTGTCCGGATCCATCTGGGCCTGTTTAGCTAGCTGAGGCAGCAGGTTCTCCTTGCTGCAAAGATCAACACGAAGAACTCTGAGAAAAAAGAGAAAAAGAGAAAACGAAGAACAAACAGAAAATAAAAACTTACTTTGCCCAACGCGGTATTGGCTTCACGGGCCTCTTCGGCTTCCTCGGATTTTGGTTCTCCTTGTCATCGTCATCGTCGTCGTCAGAGGAGCTTTTGTAAGGAGAGATTTCGTAGGAGGCTGGGCCTGGATCTTCTTCTTCGTCTTCTTCTTCGTCCTCGTCCACCATCTTACCACCCAAAAGAGATGGGCAGAACTGTTGCTTGTGATCTAGCACGGCTGGCGTTCCCAGGTAGCTCTCAACACCATTCAGGCTCGTTTTGGAAGCGCTCAGTGAGACTGCCTTGCGTTGAGCCGTGCCACTCGGTACCCGAAGCGCATGGCCGAGCAGCCCGAGCGACTGTTCCCTTTGAACGTAAAGTTCCTGGCTGCCTGATACCTTCTCTAAAGGTCGTTGCTGCTCTTTCTCCAGCATTTTCATCCGTTGGAAGACTTCTTCTCTGCGCTTTTTCTCGGCCTCCCTGCTAGCGAACCAGTTGGCTTTCGTCTCCTCCGCTTCCTTCCTCCTCCGCTCTGCTTGCCTCTCCTTTTCTAGCCTTTGCTCCTTCTTCATCCTCAGCTCATCATCAACTCTTCTCCGCTTGTTCTTCAACTCTTCGTCTTTCCTCCTCTGTTCTTCCTCCAGCTTCTTCAATCTCTTCCGCTCGAGGTCACCCTTGACTTCTAAAGGTCGTTTGGTTGTCTTACCGCGCACGTCTTTTTTCCCTACCGAGACAAGCAAAATGTTAGCATAGGACAAGATGCGTGAAGATCGAGTAACACAAACCATTTGCGATGGACTTCTGCTGAGTAACGAGAGGGACAAATGACTTCAGGTTTGTCGCGATGGACACGGTGGGTTTTTGCTGAGTGATCAGTGGGAGAAATGACCTCATGTTTGAAACCAAGTTCTGCTTCAAGTGAATGCTCTCCTCTTCTTCTCCTGCAGAACCTGGTTCTGAAACTATTGTGCTGACAGCTGCTCTCTCCTTTTCGTTCTCCTGGAAGTTTGTTTGCTCCGTTACTAGCATAACCTCCAATTCTTCCTGGTCAGGTGCTACTTTCTCCTGGTCTAGTTTCCCTTCTTCCTCTATAGTTGCTCTGTCCTTTTCGTTCTCCTGAAAGTTCGTTTGCTCCGCTGTGCTGACAGTTCCTCTCTCCTCCTGGAAGTTCGTTTGCTCCGTCACTGATTCTTCCTGGTCAGGCCCTGCTTTCTCCTGATCTTTCTCCTGGTCTGGCTTCCTTTCTTCCCCTACACTTGCAATCGAGGCAACTTGTTCTTCCTGATAACCTACTGTGCTGACAGCACCCTCCTGGAAGTTCGTGTGCTCCGTTACTATTTCTTCCTGGTCAGGCCCTGCGTCTGGCTTCCTTTCTTCCTCTACACTTGCAACCGAGGGAGCTTGTTTTTCTTCCTGATAAACTACTGTGCTGACAGCTTTCTCCTGTTCGTTCTCCGTTTGCTCCGCTACTAATTCTTCCTGGTCAGGCCCTGCTTTCTCCTCACTTGCAGCCGCGACAACTTGTTCTTCGCCGTGATAAACTATAGTGCTGACAGCTCTCTCCTTTTCGTTCTCCTGGAAGTTCGTTTGCTCCGTTACTAAATCTTCCTGGTCAGGCCCTGCTTTCTCCTGATCTAGCTTCCTTTCTTCCTCTACACTTGCAACCGACCTAACTTGTTCTTCTTCCTGATCAACTGTGCTGACAGCTCTCTCCTTTTCGTTATCCTCACCCAATTCTTCCTGGTCCGGCCCTGCTTTCTCCTGCTCTGTTTCCTCCTCCACATTTGCAACCGAGAAGGCAAATTGTTCTTCTTCCTGGTTTGGCTCCTGCTCTGGTTCTGGAAATGCTGTGCTGACAGTTCCTCTCACCTTTTCATTCTCCTGGAAGATCCTTTGCTCCTTCTCTAGCAAGACGCCACCGTCTTCCTGGTAAGGCCTAGCTTTCTCCTGGTCTGGCCCTTCCTCCTCTAAAACCTTCTTCTTGAGACTTACGGGAGGAAGAAGTACCCGCATCAGCGAGTGCATCGAGGCCACAAAGTACTGCTTCTGCTGATGGAACTGCGCATCCGCATTCTCTATCGTCTCGAGGAGAAGGTGTATTCTCGCCTCCTCCATGGCTTCTAAACCTTAGCGAGCGCCCAGCCTACTCTGATTCTAGAGAAATTTCACAGCACAAGCAGATCTTTACCGGTTTTCCCCGCCCATACCCTAGCCCGCCTACCCGGAGCCAAAGCGAGCTCCTCCACGCCTCGCCATAGCTTCGCTCCTTAGGGCAAGGTAAAGAAAATGCGAGAGAATATTCGTACGAACACATCCGAGCCGTCCGCTTTAATGCGATCGACGGCTTAGGGTGCCCTTACCGTTATAGCTCCGAGTACTTTAAAGTTTTTTGGAGAGAGAAGGGGGCGCCCTGGATTTCGATCATGCGTAGCGATGGCTGATGCGATTCGCGGGGAGGAAGATCCCAAGCTCCTGGATTCGAGAGGCGGCCGCCGCGATCACAGCGCCGATCGCCAGAAGAAGCAGCGGAGGGTGGATGCATCCAGCAGCCGCGACGATGGCGAGGCGACCGAGAGCTCGGAGAGCTACAGCGACGACGAAGAGAGGTATGTGAGGAGCAGCAATAGGTCGTGGAAGAAGAGATTTGGGCCAGCAAAGAAACGATTCATCGATGTGGATTATCAAGAGGTGTTTCGAGCTCCACCGTTTTGTTTCCAAAAGAGAATAGCTCGGATCGATTGGAGGACACTGCATGCCATCGAAGTGGATGGACTCATCCAAGAAATCGGTAAGAATGTAGGTCCTTTGATTACTTTTATTTATTTATTTATTTGAGTTATCTTTGTAGACATTGGAAAACTAGAGACTGTTCTTGATACTATAGCGTTTGGAGACATCCAAGGTGAAGATACTCGTAACTTCACCGAGCAAAACTTCATCAAGCTTTTTCGTCTTGCTCAATTGATGGTACGTGAGACTTCTACTCTAGAGGAATTTTCTTTTCTGACTTTTATCTTAGCAGATCGAGTATCTTCTTCATGTCCAAACTGTTCTAGCGGATCAAAAATCACAGTTGATCGCTGCCGTATCAGGTGCTCGGAGAAAAGGTGAAAAACTGAGGCTGCGCTGTCTCTGGCAACACGACGCTCTAAAGCAGTCCCAGAAGGATTTGAAGCATGCCAGAAAGGTTCATTTGCTCGACATTACAATAATGGTTTATATTTATATTGCAGACACTAAAAACTTACGAGGGTCTTTTGCGTTCCAATGGAAAGCAAGCTGCTGTCCAACAGCAGGTTAGCACCGAAAAAGAAATTAAAAACGAACGCTCTAAGAACTTAACTTGACCCAGTTCTCATCACTCAACTCTGGGGATGTGTGTTCTTGAGCTCTTGCTGTTGGTGGTGAACTATACAGGTGCACCATTGTCCTTGCTGTGAGAAGATCTTTGAATCTTCATACTATCTTGTAAGTAAGAAAGGTCTTCCTTTTTCTTTCTTTCTCTTACGTTACTTTGTAAACAGGATATGCACGTTTCGAGGAGACATCCAAGGCCAACAGATCGCTCCGAGCGAGCGGATGTTCGATCGGAGAGAGTATCAGGAGAGAGAGCCCCTGTCTATCATCCACCAGTTGCAAGAAGTGTTGAGAAATCTGCCGCACAAGTAAGGATGATCTTCCATCTCTGATTACAACTTAATTGTCCTTTTACCTACAGGTAAGAGCTGAAACTGAAGCAGTTTTACAAAGAGAATTTGAACGACAACACGGAGGAGTTTCACATGTAAATTCTTCTCTTTCTTTCTTTTTTCCTACATGCATTTTGACTATCGCAACTTCAGCGTGACGACAGCAGATCTGGTGGTGCTCAGGTAAAAAACGCAGACCATCTATTCTTTCTAATATTCTTTTTCGTACAGGTGAGTTCTTTGCATCAAACTCTACATGACAGCGGGAGTGAATTTGACGAAGCTGATTACCAACTTGGCCTTCCTTACTCACAATCTCATGCCACTCCTGTAAGCGTTTACCTTTTATTCTTTTTCATTTCTATGACACTACCACTGTCGGTAGAGGTTGCAACGAAGAGATGACTACGAGGTTTTGGAAGATGCTGGAAATGTATGGCAATAAGAATGTTCTTGCGAGTGTTTCAACGAGCTAATTCTTCTGGCTTTTCTGCAGAGGCTGAGTGACTTGGAACGGAAGTTTGAAGGTGTTGAACATCAAATTCACCACCTCAATAAGGTCACCTAAGAACGTTATCAAATCCTGTTCTCTAACTTTGAGCCACCCACACCAGGAAAATATCAAACTGAGAACTGAACTAGACGCAGCTTACCGCGAGGTATATCGTAATCGATTGTATTTTACTTGTTCTTATCATGCTCACAAACAGCTATCTGCTTTGAGATCTGGAAAACGTCAAAGAATGGGAGACAGTCCTCAGGTGCTAAAGGTCAGAGATCTAGAACTGGGACTCATGTTTTCTTTGTATGCATAGCTTGAGCTGGAGAAGAAGGAAAAGCAGCTAATCAAGTATATGAAAAATGTAAGCAAGTTAGTAAGATCAAAAGTACAATCTAAATAACTTCACAGCAAGGAAAATCGTCCGGTATCGAAGACTTCACCGTGCAGGAGCATGCAAGAAATGCCAAGTCCTTGAGCGTAAGCAAACATGAAACTTTTCGTGCACGTAACTCTGGACGATCCACAAATAACAGGACTGGGTTAGCGACACGGATGATAGATACAGCGACCTCACCATGGGAATCACCGAAGAGTTTCGCGATCTCGAGCCACCCGAAGATGCAAGGCTAGTGATTAAGTTCTCTCTCTTCCATTATAGTTAACTAATGGAAACTGTGCAGGAGCCGGCACTCGGATGAATCGGGACGAAGTAGCGCAGCTTCAAGGCGAAAGCAGCTTGTTGACGTTGATGACGGGACTCCAGTGTCGGACAAGGAACGCTGGGTGCAAGAGCATCAGTATGCCCCAATACCAGAGAAGTGAGTCTGGCTCTTTGACTCTTTGCTTTAACTTCTTTGAACTCCCTTCTAGGCCTTATGCTTTGTCCAAATTCCCACACGGTTCGTCTACAGTGAGTACTATGCATGGAAGAATGGCCGCGGTAAGAACAAAAGCCCCTTTTTACTTCGTTGTGTAAGCTTACATTTTATATTTTGTCTAGCAATTCGAACAGAAGCTGAATGCCGAACTGAAGAAGTTTGGGATCTCAGCAAACTCGAAAGGAATCAGGTCCGTGTTTGAGGTTCCCAAATCAAATATATTGTTCCGAACTTCTCTTGTATTGTAACCAGTGACGAGATGCTCAAAGCGGCACTATCAACACTAGAAAGGCAACGAAGAACTCGCTACTGTGACGCTCCACCCGATGACCGCAGGATCATGGAGTACGAGAGAAGCACTATACAATGGCATATTGAGGTACAACATACTATGCTTGGCTGGATAAAATTGATCGTTTTTAAATAGAGAGCTGTACGTACCCGCGACACGGATCGCCTGGAATCAATTTTCGAGGAAGAGTCAGAGCCAGAGGACGTTGCTTCTGTTGTGTCAGATGACGAAATCTCCGAAAGAGAAGTGAGTTCAAGTTTTCTACTTTAAATTCTCACTCTCCGTCTCGGGCTTTATGCAGGAGCTTGAAGAGCGGGCGAGCTCGAGACCGTCACCGTCGTATGGAAAGCCATCACCATCCTACGGTCGTCGCACGCCGTCGCCGAGATCCTACGGCCGGCGCTCATGCTCGCCGTGGCCACCGCAACCTCCAAAGTCGAGAGGAGGGGGACCGAGCTCGGGATTTACCGAGCAGTTTGTGTCCAAGGCATTTTCGTGGCGAGCGGACGACGAGTCCGAGTCGCACACATTTAGAGTTACCGGTGAGGTGGTAGCGCAGCGAGTTAAATCCCCCGGTGGAGGAGGAGACGTTCCACACAGGATTGTTATATCGCCAGTAGCCAGTCCAGTGAGTGTTAGTCGGGGGCCGGCTCCAATCTTTGAGGACGAGCAAGTGGAGGAAGATTTGGGACTGGGTGACTGGGACAGCGACGATGGAAAGAACACGAGCAGTCCAAGCCCGAGAAGTCCCGACGTTGCGAGGTAAAGAGCTTTAAGTTCTTTAGAGTGTTCGCTTTGGTCATGAGCTCTTGATTTTTCTAGGCAAGTTATGAGAGATATACAGTCGAGAGTGGAATCTCCTTCCAGTTCCAAAGCCACAGGTTTGTCATCTCGTTTTTTTTTGTTCGTTCTTTCTTGATTTGCAACTTGGTGCAGCTAAGCAAAAAGGCAAGCAAGCAGCAGCTGGATCTACCAAGTAAGAAACGCTGGTGCTTCTCCTACAATGCACAGAGTTCTAACTTAGCTTTTCATTTGCAGCAAGTCCAAGCAGCACGCCAGTAGTAGCAATGCCAGTGATGATATCAAAATGCTAGACGAACTTGATGCTGAAATCAATGACATAATAAGATGAATCTTAATATCATTCATCCAAGAATCTAAAGCTCCCGACTGTCAATCAATCGAAAGGCATTGAAAAACTCGCGCGAGAACATGGTTGACGCAAAGCAAACAAGGAGAGAAAACTAAAGTTTCCGTAAACGAAAGCGCACAAGAGACTACAAACACATAGATGGAGATGCCGGGTATCGATCCCGGTGCCTCTCGCATGCGAAGCGAGCGCCCTACCATCTCAGCTACATCCCCTCACCGCAGGAGGTAAACCACAAAGCTAATATATTTACTGGCCAGCCAGAGGAACAAAATTTACAAATTTGATCTATCCGAGATCACTTACATCATGTTAAAAACTGGCGTCTTGATGAAGGATTCCGTGATCACCAAGGCCAGGAAACCAAGCATGGCAGTCCGCCCATTCCAGCGCTCCGCCATGGCATTAAACGGGCCCAAAGCTCTACTATCGGGGCTCTCTCCCTTAAACATGGGAACCAGCGACGCATACGCAAAGAGTTGTGCCACCATCAAAAAGTTAAACAAGCCAAAGTTGCCTGGCGTGTAGAGCTGCTCGAACACCGTTTGTCCCGTTATTCTCTCCACAGCAAATGCCCACACAATTCCAACCATGGCCTGTATCAATTGGAAAAAAATCTTAGAACAAGGGACTCTCCATGGATCCAGGAACTTACCAGTCTGCCATTGATCGTCTCTGGGCCAGCGCCATCAAATGCCATCAAGCTGGGGAACGATCGATCGCCAGTCTCTGGCCGCCTCTCGATCTCAGGCCTCGGCCACATTGCTCCGGACGATGGCACAGCTCCAAACACGGACTTCGTCTCCGACTCATTCTCTGCCTGGTTCTTGAGCACACCCTCGCGACTAATATTCTTCTTGGTCTGGTCCAGAACGCTGCTGATGCCATCGCCTCCTGCAGGACCTTTGTCCGAGGAAGCTCTCACTGGCAGCAAGAATCCCAAGGAGCGAGTGGATCGAGACTTGTGAGAGGGGGCTCCTCCCAAAGGAGTTTTAGAGAGGGAGGAAGGGAGTGCCGCAAGGCTGCTGCTTGTGGCTAGGGCCATGTTGCTCAGGACTAAAAGCTACAAATATTTGGACCTGGAAAACACTTCAAATGAATTGGATCGCTCAAATCAAATGTGTGGATCGCAGGATGGCTAGACTATTCTCGGTGCTGAAATTTATACGAATCGGGGACCACACGTGGCAAGATCCCCGCGATTGTAGTGTCACCGAAAGCATCTCTTATGTGTCGTAAGGTGGCGCGCCTTTACCGTGAACCCTAAAGACGATATTACTAGGTAATCCTTCAGCTGCAAGTCAAATGGGTGAAAGCCCCAAAGCGTGTGTTCCTGGCATCTCCTTAACATTTTACGCGTACTCGCAAGACCACATATAGTTTGAAAGAAGAACGAATAAAGGTGCTTCGGCAAATCGAACCCCAGCACCTGCCCAAACTCTGCGAGAGCACACATGCTGCATGGCACGTTTCTCTTGTAGCGTGGCATTTTCTAATCCATTCATGCATTTATACTGTTTACGGGCCTCGCCCCTCAAGAAGCATGAGACTGAAAGATTCAAATACTGTTCATATGGTCGCCTCTGCTGTGCGGCAGCTGATGTCCTCAGCTGTGTCCACCTCCGTCGCGGGCCTTGATGCGTTTGCGTGCATAGGGGTTAAGGGAATATTCGCACATATTCTTGATATCTGTATTTATTTATTTTGTTTATAACAAGAAAAAACCACGGTCATCTCTTGCCTGGATAAAGCGGCCACATGGTGAATATCGGGACAAAAAAGTGCTCACCCGAAACAAAATCTCGCCCAGAAAAATCGATCACTCGCGCCAGCGCCGCCAGCCTGCGGACGATGCGTTTTAGGTCAAATCAATCTAGACTTGGGGCTCCAATGGTTAACTCCCACGCGGAGGCGCGATGGGATCGATTGATCCATAAAAAATTGGATGGCAATTTTTATTTTATGTATGTTCTAACTAATCAAGAATATTTTTTAGTATTCTCTTAAACTCTTCCATTTGGATCGTCCACTGTGTGCGGGTGGGGAGTCATTGACTACATAATTAACCTTCTCAACGCATGCGGGGCGGCTTTGAGTCGTTGTCCTCCCATTTGATAACTCGCTAGAATCCTTGGATTTCGAGGAGTGAGGTTGTTATAGCCCACATAGCCGTTTATAGTGGCTGCGTAGCTGTCGTAGAGAACGCTGTCCACAGTTCTTGCCCGACACCATTGTTGGAGGGCTTGCCATGTCCAGTATCCAAGGGTCCTCAATTAGCTCGGTGAGCAGGAAGGAAGTCCAAGTCCAGCCCAAGGGAAGTAGTTCATGCCGCCACCACCATCAATTCGGGAGGGATGTTGAGCTCGTGCAGGCGTTGACAGGGTTTGCTGCGTAGCACTTGATCAAATGCATTTGGCAATGTCGACGTAACAAGCATACGCATGGATTCTGGCAGAGCTTGTCGAGAGTGATATACGAATAATGCAGGCGAAAACCAGCCGGGCCTGTGGCTCAGCATCCCTGGAATTCTGTCCATGTGACAAGTCGTTTCTCAAACCACCAGATTTTAGGGATCATAATTGTACGGTAATTGGTGGCAAGATGCATTCCCATCTCGTTAAGAGGATCGGATTCGGGTTCAGCATTTGCAAAAGTTCAACCGCGAATCTGTAGACATCGGCCACCTGTCGTCGAGGAAGTCTGTGAATGGCATCCTTCATCTCGGACCATCCTGCAATTCATACAGCTGGCAAATGTGCTGGATCCAAGCGTCCACGTCCTTGACAATCACCTGCGTGTCGCACTTGACAAACTTGTCAGATGTTGACGAGCTTGGTGTGGAATTGGGCTCAAGCCCTCGCGACATTCCGAAACGGAGCTGCCATGCTCTTGGCTGTGGGAAGGCCATATTGTGCATGCAAACTGCGACACTCCTCGTTCCACCACGGCTTGGTGGGGACGGCCACCTCCTGGAGAATTTGCACAAGGACGTCCGCTCGAGCGCCTATTTGGATATTGGCCGTGGCGACTAAGTAGTCCACGGTACTGTGTCCTGCGATGGTTGTTGCCACGTGGATGAAATGGCCGTGAAATCTCATGTGGGAATGTAGATGCTCCATACATCTTTGTTGTCTGGCATAATGGGAGGAGTTTTGTGCCCATTCTTGCATCGAACTTGACTAAACTGTGGCAAATCCAGCGCGTGGTGTTCGCCTTCCTGTTCATCATGAGCGGCTTGATATGAGCTCGTGCGGCTGTTGAAATCCCCCGCAAATATCACTGTCGCATTCGTGCTTCAAGCCGCAGTACAGGATGCTAAGGCGGATGATTTGCGACATATGTTTCTTGCAATGACAGAGGTTCTGTACTTGATTCTTTTATTCTTTTTCATCTCTCATCACTGCTTTTATTTGTTCTAGGTGCGTGTGATCGTTGTGAAGCTTGCCGACAAACTGCAAGCGGTCACCCGTTCTGCTAGGGCCGCAAAGAGAAAGGGGGTTCCCGTGACATAATCCGGTGATCAACACCCGCCGTGAGGAGGCTATGCAGATGTTCGTCTCGGTATTGCTTCGACACCCGAATGACGACGTGGTCCTTAGTGTAGACGAGACTTCCAGTTCCAGGCTCTAGGAATCCGGGTAAATCTGGGTGCTGGTGTTCCCAGGTTTCTACAAGGCAGATGAGATGGTACTATAGTCGAGGGGGAACCCATGGCAGTTCCAGACCAGTTGGGCCTCTTGCGCTCAGTGGGAAACGATTGGAGATTGGTTTACCTCTTGATGCCTGTTTGCGCTTCATCCTTATCTTTACGCAAGCAGTGTGACTAAGTCCGTGATGTTGCAAACTCCGGGAAGGGTTTGGAGGGTGGTGAATGTTGGCGAGGCGATTGTCGTAAAAGCTGGTTGTAGCTTGAGTCGCTTGGGTGGGCTTGGGGGAGTGGCCTGAGTACGCGAGGCCTGAGTCGCTGGAGTGGCCTCGAGCGGCGTCTCCTCTCCTTATGGGGTGAGGCCAGTCCCGAGCGGTGTCGGTGTCGATGAGGAGAGGAGATCTGGGCAGCTACGTGTACGTAGCCGCCCCAATTTGCGAAGAGCTGCCGAGTGTGCACCTCGGAGATTCAAGCCGTCTGTGAGAGTGCGTGCGCTTGCGGCTTGCTTTACGCTGAGCGTGCTGTGGCGGTGAGTGGGTTGGCGCTGTATCCCAAAACGCGGATTTGTCGGACTTCACTTTGTGAAAGTGGCGGCCATACTTGATGTCCAAGCGGAACCTCCACCGCCCATCGCTTCGATCACCTTTCCAAGTTTCCGGAGCGCGTCCTTTGCCGTTTCCAAATCCGCACGGTGCCCGTCCATCTCGAGCATCACCACCCGGAACGCAGAGGAGGCTCGGTCCCGTAAGCGTCTTTGCGCTTGAACGTGCCTTCAGCCCAGACCCGCTTCATTTGGTAAGGTGACCTGTGGGATGGATCTTGAAATCCACGGCTTGGTGTCGCTCCCATGGATATATGTTTGCCTATCCAGCCGAGAACGTCCTGTCGCTTAAAGCTGGATCGATGATTCATTGATCCGCAAACTCCTCCAAGTTGCCGGGAGAGCGGGCCTGGGTGTGCGTGCCGTGAATCTTCCTCTCCCGCTTTCATGAATCTCGAGGCGGAAGTGACGATGGAAAGAACACGAGCAGGGGTTACGAGGTTAAAAAGCTAAAGTAGAGTGTTCGCTTTGATGAGCTCTGGCAAGTTGTGCCTTCCAGTTCCAAAGCCACAGGTTTGTTATCTCGTTATCTCTCTGTTCGTTCTTTCTTTTCAAAGCAGCTAAGCAGGATGTACCAAGTAAGAAACCTATATATCTAGACGAACTGATGACATAATGTACGTAAATGGGCATATGCCCCAAAATTTACAAATTTGATCTATCCGAGATCACTTACATCATGTTAAAAACTGGCGTCTTGATGAAGGATTCCGTGATCACCAAAGCCAGGAAACCAAGCATGGCAGTCCGCCCATTCCAGCGCTCCGCCATGGCATTAAACGGGCCCAAAGCTCTACTATCGGGGCTCTCTCCCTTAAACATGGGAACCAGCGACGCATACGCAAAGAGTTGTGCCACCATCAAGAAGTTAAACAAGCCAAAGTTGCCTGGCGTGTAGAGCTGCTCGAACACCGTTTGTCCCGTTATTCTCTCTACAGCAAATGCCCACACAATTCCAACCATGGCCTGTATCAATGGAAAAAAATCTTAGAACAAGGGACTCTCCATGGATCCAGGAACTTACCAGTCTGCCATTGATCGTCTCTGGGCCAGCGCCATCAAATGCCATCAAGCTGGGGAATGATCGATCGCCAGTCTCTGGCCGCCTCTCGATCTCCGGCCTCGGCCACATTGCTCCGGACGATGGCACAGCTCCAAACACGGACTTCTTCTCCGACTCATTCTCTGCCTGGTTCTTGAGCACACCCTCGCGGCTAATATTCTTCTTGGTCTGGTCCAGAACGCTGCTGATGCCATCGCCTCCTGCAGGACCTTTGTCCGAGGAAGCTCTCACTGGCAGCAAGAATCCCAAGGAGCGAGTGGATCGGGACTTGTGAGCGGAGGCTCCTCCCAGAGGAGTTTTAGAGAGGGAGGAAGGGAGTGCCGCAAGGCTGCTGGCTAGCGCCATGTTGCTCAGGACTAAAAGCTACAAATATTTGGACCTGGAAAGCACTTCAAATGAATTGGATCGCTCAAATCGAATGTGTGAATTGCAGGATGGCTAGACTGTTCTCGGTGCTGGAATTTATACGAATCGGGGACCACACGTGGCAAGATCCCTGCCATTGTAGTGTCACCAAAGCATCTCTTATGTGTCGTAAGGTGGCGCGCCTTTACCGTGAACACTATTAAAGACGATGTTACTAGGCAATCTTTCAGCTGCAAGTCAAATGGGGCTTGCCACTTTGGCATCTCCTTATCAAGCCCTTCAGTACTCACCACATCAACTGAAGACCCTAAGTTTCCATTCTTGTATTCAAGACCACATATAGTTTGATAGTATTTCCGGCAAATCGAAACCCAGCACCTCTTGCCCAAAACTTTGCGAGAGCACACATGCTGCATGGCACGTTTCTCCTTCTGGTACTGTAAGCGTGGCATGTTCCAATCCACTAATTTTCTGATCCGTTGATAATGTGCGGCCACGGAGGAGAGAGAGAGAGAGGATCCAGATTTCTGGCGAAAGACATTGGTACGAGAGAATCTTTAATTATGTCAAGCAGACTGCAAAGCTTCGTTAAATTGGATGATTAATGCGAACTTGGTTGGAAATATTCAGTTTAACAGGGTACCTAGCAGCTAAAGTTTATAAGAAGCTATGCTCCGGCCCAACACCAGGATAGTCCAGCCTGATTGGCTTTTTTGGGATATTGGAATCAAACTAAGAAGTGTAACGACAATTTCAAACCTGGTACAGCAAGAACAAGCATTTCAAATTGTTCCACTTCCTCTTCAGGGAGCAAATTGAACACGAAAAAGATCAAACTCAAGCATTCCGTTTATATGGACAGCTGTTAAAAATCTAGTTCCGTGTTTGCTCAAGAATTAAGAATTACTTAGATTTCTATGTTTCCAATAATAAAGATTGGAGGCGGCTCCAAGTTTGTGAAGCTGGCATGGATTGACTCTACATGAAACCTGGCTCAAGCTTAATGGGATAATCTTTAACTTGACGAGGTGGTCTGCTAGATCGTGAAAAGCAGATTAAAAAAATCTAATCATATAGATAATATTTACATCATGTTAAAAACTGAGTGAAATTCGGCCAGCTCTCGAATGCAATCACGTTCAGCTCATGTTTACAAGGTAGACGCAATAAGATTAAAACTGTGTTATAACATAAATTTAATGAACAAAAATTTACAGACTCTCAGGCTGACACTTACGTCATGTTAAAAACTGGGGTCTTGGTGAAGAATTCCGTGATCACCAAAGCCAAGAAGCCAAGCATGGCAGTCCGCCCATTCCAGCGCTCTGCCATGGCTCTAAACGGGCCCAAGGATCGGCTATCGGGGCTCTCTCCCTTAAACATGGGAACCAGCGACGCGTAAGCAAAGAGCTGTGCGACCGCCAAGAAGTTAAACAAGCCAAAGTTGCCTGGCGTGTAGAGCTGCTCGGCCACCGTTTGTCCCGTCACTCTCTCCACAGCAAATGCCCATAAGATTCCAACCATAGCCTGTTATGATAACATCAATGGAAAGAACAAGGGACTCCATGAATTTTGGAGAAGGGATGAACTTACCAGTCTGCCATTGATTGTCTCTGGACCAGCGCCATCGAATGCCATCAAGCTCGCGAACGACCGATCACCCGTCTCTGGCCGCCTCTCAATCTCAGGCCTCGGCCATAATGCTCCGGACGATGGCACCGCTCCAAACACGGACCTCTTCTCCGACTCGTTCTCTGCCTGGTTCTTGAGCACATCCTCGCGGGTGATATTCTTCTTGGTTTCGTCTAGAACGCTGCTGATCCCATCGCCTCGCCCATTTTCCGAGGAAGCTCTCACTGGCAGCAAGAATCCCAAGGAGCGACTTGATCGAGCCTTGGCTCCTCCGAGAGGAGTTTTAGAGAGCGAGGAAGGGATTGCCGCAATGCTGCTGCTTGTGGCGACGGCCATTGCTCAAAACTGAAAGCTACAAAATTCGGAGGGAAATACAAACGCTTAAAGAATTGGATCGAATGTGAATCGCAAGATGACTAGACTGTTCTTGCTGCTCAAATTTATATGAAACGGGGACCACACGTGGCAAAAACCCTGCCATTCGTGTGTCACGGAAAGAATCTCATATGTGTCGTAAGGTGGCGCGAGATACTTATGAACACTATTAAAGAGTGAATCTTATGTTTCGAGCATGTCCATTTTTTGCTAGCAACCCAAATCAAGTATCCCAAAGAGAACGTGATGGTGGCGGAGGGGCTAAGGCGCAAAAATGTAGTAGTATCTGTGATCTCGACTCGGATCCCTCGCATTAGCTCCAGCTTCTCGCGCAAAAGACTTACAAGAAAGAAGAAACTCCAATGGGCTAGATAAATTAGATAGATAGATGTTTTTTCAAGTCACCGCAGTGCTAAAGAGAACAATAAACAAGAAGAAGAAAAGAAGCAAGAGTGGATTGGATCCTGACCTATTAGTGTCTTGAAATTCGAACTCACTCGAGGTTCAAATCTCATTCACTGCTCATAATAGTGTATGCCTGTGTTATTAATCACTACCCGGATGCCAGTGAACTGGCTAGCTCGTCAAACAAAACACACTTGACGGGATCGAAAGGATTAGGCGACTGGGAGCATCTTCTTGGTCACAAGCCGGAGTAGAATCAAATTCTTGAGAGGAATCGATGTTGTAATTTGCTACTCCGCCATCAATGCGCCCAGTACTTGATGATGGGTCAGATCAATCGAGAGCTCTGCCGAGTGAAAACGTTATTCAGCTTTGCAGCGGCTGTTGTGTACTAGCCCGCCAAGGAGATTTCAGCACGAGCACTACGAAAATACAAAAGCGGAACATCCACGACCCAGCGCTCGTGTGAGCCGCCGCCGCAGCAGCAATCTAAAGCTCCACTCCTGCCATACCTCAAGTCCATTGCTCGGCATCCATGCTCTTGCTCGCCTCCATCCTATATGTATAAGCACAGCATGCTGTGTGGATTGGAGCCAAACGTTTTGGACTTAGCATAGGTCTAGCAGGAGATATTGTGCTGTGAGTTGCACAATGGTATATGGGAAGCTGGAATGGCTCTTGGCAAAACATCGAAATTCGGGCGAATGCAATCACGTTCCATTTGGAGACCCGTTTTAAGCTCATGTTTACAAGGTAAACGCAATAAAATTAAAACTATGTTATAACAGAAATTTAATGAACAAAAATTTACAGACTCTCAGGTTGACACTTACATCATGTTAAAAACTGGGGTCTTGGTGAAGAATTCTGTGAGCACCAAAGCGAGGAAGCCAAGCATGGCAGTCCGCCCATTCCAGCGCTCCGCCATGGCTCTAAACGGGCCCAAGGATCGGCTATCGGGGCTCTCTCCCTTAAACATGGGAACCAGCGACGCGTAAGCAAAGAGCTGTGCGACCGCCAAGAAGTTAAACAAGCCAAAGTTGCCTGGCGTGTAGAGCTGCTCAGCCACTGTTTGTCCCGTCATTCTCTCCACAGCAAATGCCCACAAGATTCCAACCATGGCCTGTATCAATGGAAGAAAAACTTAGAACAAGGGACTCCACGGATCCAGGAACTTTGGAGGACGAGGAACTTACCAGTCTGCCATTGATTGTCTCTGGGCCAGCGCCATCGAATGACATCAAGCTCGCGAACGACCGATCGCCCGTCTCTGGCCGCCTCTCAATTTCAGGCCTAGGCCACAATGCTCCGGACGATGGCACCGCTCCGAACACGGACCTCTTCTCCGACTCATTCTCTGCCTGGTTCTTGAGCACATCCTCGCGGGTGATCTCCTTCTTGGTCTGGTCCAGAACGCTGCTGATCCCATCGCCTCGCCCATTGTCCGAGGAAGCTCTCACCGGCGGCAAGAATCCCAAGGAGCGACCGGATCGGGACTTGTAGGCGGAGGCTCCTCCGAGAGGAGTTTTAGAGAGCGAGGAAGGAATTACCGCAATGCTGCTGCTTGTGGCGAGGGCCATTGCTGAGGACTAGAAGCTACAAAAATTCGGTAGAAACGCTTTGAATTGGATCGCTGAAAGAGAATATGTGAATCGCAGGATGGCTAGACTGTTCCCGACCCTCGAATTTATACGAGGCGGAGACCACGCGTGGCAAAATCCCTGCCATTCCAGTGTCACCAAAAGAATCTCTTATGTGTCGTAAGGTGGCGCGGAATACTTACCTTTACCATGAACACTATTAAGACGTTTGAATCGATCTTTGAGCTCAAAACCAATTGGGGCTTGCCACTTCGGCAGCCGGCGGTAAATCCATCGAATGTTAGAACTAGTACCTGGATCAAGGTTGATCTCAGTTGATCGCAGGGGCTTCGCAAAAACCAGAAACTTCGATGATCTTGAGAGAACAAAACAAGAAGAAAAAGAGGAGGAGAGAAGAAAAGAGTGGACCTCCCACGCTCCTCTTGAAACTCGGCCTCAATCTTCTCGATAATTCTCGGCTACCACTTGATCTCTTGAGCCTGTCACGCAGATTAAGAGTGGTGCTAAAGCATAGCCAGCAAATGCTGGAAGAAAAGTAGTAAAATGGAAAGAGGGCGATGAACAGTAAAATAGAGAGCTTAAATTCCATGGGATGCCGATTTCAAGGCTTGCTCGATGGATGCTTGTGGCTTTGATTGTAACAGGCCCTTGATCCTCTGGAACCACGATCTCTTCAGCGATTCCTCTACCTCTGGCGATGACGGCCCCAAGAGGAGGTAAAAAACCCTGGGGTTTAGGGTTCTTGGGGAGAGAGCTATGGTGGTGTTGGATTCCCCGCTGCGGTGGCTCACAGAGGCAGTGAAGCGGCGATCGCTGCAGCTGGCCACTGGATATTTCCATCCCGAGGAGCGCCGATGGATCGACCAGGCGCCGAAGCCGAAGCAGTCGAAATCCGGGCGATCTTTGTGGAAATGGATGCGGCTTCGCGAGATTCAGGTAGGATTTCACCTCTCCTTGCCTCCATTCTCGCGTCTCGGTAGAAATATCGAGATTGTCTCCTTTTCCCTCTCGCATTCCTCGATGGAATCCTTCCATCTTTGCGATTTTGATCTTCTTGCTTGCATTCTCCCATCTTGGAACCTTTCTGGTCATTGTATGCTAGAATTATCGAGATTTTCTCTCTTGTCGCGAAGTTTTTCTCTCGCATTTGTGGCTCCCATCCATCTTTTCTAAAACTTTTCTTCTTTTTTTTGTTGGCAAAGGATACAGGTGTGGATGAGAGACGGCGATCTGGAGAGCATTCGACGCAACGATCGAAGGATCGCATACATTAAGCGAGTGATGGAGTATCTGGTCAGTCACGAGCAGAAAGGAAGCGTTAACCTCCGAAAACTCCATGCAGTTGAAGGGCTGGACGACAATACCAAGCACGGGCTGAGAAGAAACGCGTGGAACTATCCGGGCTTCTTCATTGTCACGGTAAACAACAGGCAAAAGGAAGACTTGGTAGCTCTCACCGACAAGGCCAAGCAGCTCATGGAGGACGAGAGAAGAGCTCGATGGGATCGCGACGAGAGCTCTTGCGTCAAGATCCTCAAGAAGATACTGATGATGAGCCGGGACAGGAGGATCCGGCGATCGAAGCTCCACTGCCTGCAAGAGTACTACGCGTTTCCATACGACTACAACACTGGTTTTCTCGAGAGGCACCCGGACCACATCCGTCTCGTGGAAACTCCCAAGGATTCCTACGTCGAGCTGGTTTCGTGGGACCAAGAACTGGCAGTGACGGAACGAGAGAAAGCTGTGGCTCAGGGAAGGACTCCCAAAGAGCTTGGACAATGGGCCTTCGTCATCTCATATCCGGAAGGCTACACTCCAAACAGGGTCCGGCTCGAGCAGCTCGACAATTTCCAGAGGTTACCATTTCCATCGCCTTACGAGTTCTCCCAGCGGGCTTTCGACACTCCAGTGGGGCAGAAGGAGGCCCTCGGGATCTTCCACGAGCTCCTGAGCTTTACCGTGGAGAAGAGAGCGCTCGTCTCGGATTTCACCACCTTGGCTGGCAGTCTCAACATACCACGTTACTTCTCGGACTCGCTCCTGAGCTGCCACCCGGGGATCTTCTACGTGAGCAAGTGGAAGAACCAGCACTACGTTTTCCTGCGAGAGGCATACCGAGGAAAGAATCTGGTGGCTGAAGAAGTCGATCCCTTGGTAACCATCAGAAGGCGCTACTTGGAGCTGATGAAGCCCAAGCCGGAGAAGCTACACTTGAGCTCGAGAGACGAGGACTACCTTTACGTACCAATCTCGAAGCGTGGGATCACGTCCAACCAAGGTAAGTGGTTTATCATAGTCGCAAAGGGAAGTAACGCATCGCCTCCTCTGACAGAATCCATGGGTTTAATCAGGAGCTTGTAACAAGTGCTGCGATCAAACAGGTTGACGAGACACTCTTAAGATCAAACGCGGTCCCAGGATGAAGCCGCGAGAGCAAACAAAATGACAAGACAACTTTCTGTTTCAAGATGAAGCGAATGTCTTAGGAATGTCTCATGGCTTCTTCAGCTCCAAACCGTCCAGCCACAGACTTCCAAACATCGTCCGGTAGATCATTGGCTTTTGACTTTCCAGCACCCACCCCCACAGGTTCTAGGAGGACAAAGCAAATCGAGCCAACCGGCAAGCCTACCATATAATTGTTCCAACATAGGAAGTATGTGTGCGTTTATTATTTTATCACCACCCGGATAACCGATGAACTGGCTATCACGCAAGGGCTTTGGGCAAGAGGTGCCGGTGTCGATTAGCCAGACGCCCAAACAAAACACGTGGCTCTAGTCTTTTTGCTAAATTATATTTACTGTAAACGTGGCATTTTCTCAGTCCCGTAAAAGTAAAAAAAGTATGAAGCATGAGTAAACATTCTGGCAGCAACAAAGATGGAAAACCCATTCTCTTAGCGTCTCTTTTTAGGTTTTCCTTTGCAATTGACGCGAGCGCCGGGTCGCGGAGGTATGAGACGGTGTGGGTTGGTGCGAAGACGTTTTGGACTTGGATGCGATCGAGGAGGGGAATGCCAGTTGCTGGATATCTTGTGCTGTGAGTTGCATGGAGGTACATTGGAAGCTGGAATGCCCTCTTGATCTCCAGGCAGCTGTTGGCAAGAGAAAACAGGCTGATTCGGGTTTCCTACAGGGCAAGCTTAAGACATTGGAACTTATGGCGCCTTGTTAGAGCAGCACAAGTTAATTAGATGCAGACTTTCGCCATCTCTCGTGTGCATGGAGATTCCGAGTGACGAGGTAATGAAGAAGAATGGTATGCACGTTTCCAGTCATCACAGCGGTCACATGTGACGTGGGTGATCTCGGTGACAAGAGTTGCTTTGATCCTCAGGGAGTTTTCAGTGGGCAGGAGTTAAGTCGATGTGTTCTAGTTCTTGGATATGACGTGCGTCCTGGATCCTTGTCGATCCTACGCGCACAACAAAACTTTTCTGAGATACACGCGACTCGGGGATGGTTATGGCAACACATTATGGAGTTGACCAAACTTCCCCCGAACCTAAATTTTGTTTGGCTCGCGAGTCAAATACGAGTTAGAGTGGGAGCCGCAATTGAGTGGATTTAGAGTGACATTTGTGACTTCACTCCAAATTCACTTGCATAAACGCTCTACGACTTGCCTTAAAGAAGAAACTCCGAGAGAAAACAGGACCTATGATCCAAATCCTTGGACACATAAAAAGCGTAGACATGTATTATCATCACTGAGGTGCAGGGTCGAACACGAGGTTCTGTTTACCATATAAACGTGGCACCATTCGATCCGCCAAAAGAAAAAGACAAAATTTTCTTGACGAAGACGATCCACGATGACTGAGGGCTTTTCATCTTGAAGCACGATGCATCGGTCCAATCTACTTTGGCACTGCTTTACTTGATACTTTGGCGAAGCTCTAATTGATCCGTCGAGGCAGTGAGTTAGAGCGCTGGATCATCTGGCGCGCGGTCTTTGGCCGTGGCCAATTGCACATTTTCTATTTCATGGAGGGATTGCATCGTAAATGGTGGTTGGCGGTCATCCAACGGCCAGGGAGACGTTCTCCAGAGTTAGTAGAAAGGCGCGGTGGATGCGCATGAGCCTCTTGTTTTAGTCTCAGCGAAGCGTGTGGTTTTGGTGCAAAGCAACGCAGATATTTGCCCTGCGCTTCAAGGGTTTGAGCGAGGAAAGAAGGCGCGGCCGCGCAGCGCCTACATTCTTTTCTCTCGATCGCGATCGATCTTGTCCAGGTTCGAAATTTTGCGGTGACTGGCGGAATGATCTTCTGGAAGAAATGGAGGCGGCGCTGGAATTCCTGCTCGGTTGAGGTGCGTTGCCATTTGAAAATTTCTTTCGCTGCTGGATTTCTGGAACAATAGGTATCGCCAATAGCGGTATGAGTTTCGTGAGGAGAGGCTCTCATTTGGTTTATGGAGGTAATGTCAAAGATATCTTTGCGCGATCAGAGCCTTTTTCTCGCGGCAGGTGTCCAATGGAGCAATCGGGCAGAGAGGAGGCGGTGGAGGAACGCTGCTTTGCATTCCCAGCGACACGCTCGCAGATGATAAACGGCTGAAGAAACGTTCGCGCAGGCTGCTCGTCTCGGATAGCACTGGCGAGTCCCACAACAATGCGAAGCGATCGGCAGCAATGTACTCCACAGCTTTCAACTTCAAGCTCTCGGGGACCACGAAAACTTATCCCGGGACCAGCACTACCAACAGCTCTTTGGACCGGTCAGTGGATTCATCGGGAATGCCGGAGCCGGAGCCGTGTGATCAGTCCAAGCACGAAACGTGGGAGTTTGAGACGCTGGTCCCGTTTAGCTGCGAAACGCCATCGCTGCTGTCGTCGGACGTGATCTCCACGATCGACTACGATGAAACCGGACAGCTGATAGCTACTGGTGGGCTGGCAAGGAAGATCAGGATTTGCTCGTACCAGGAGCTAGTGAACGGGATGGGAAGGGAGTGTTTCCAGGGACGCAACGTGAAAAACCTCTTCACCACCATTTGCATGCCGGCAAAGCTAAGCAGTCTCAAGTGGAGGCCGGGGAGCTCCGAGGTGATCGCTTGCGGTGACTACGATGGCTCGGTCACGGAGTGGGACGTAGAGCACGGGGTCACGGTGAGTGAAAGATACGAGCACACGGGACGAACAGTGTGGAGCATCGACTACTGCAGAGACTTCCGGGGCCTGCTAGCGTCGGCGTCGAGCGACAGCACCGTGAGGTTTTGGAGCAGGAATGTGGAGCGGAGCGTTGGGATCATCAAGTCCCTTAAGCGGAACTCGATGTGCTGCGTGGAGTTCGGCCGCTCCTCCGGTCCCTGCTGCTACGTTGCCGTGGCCTGCGCCGACGCGAGTGTGTATCTGTATGATATGCGGAGCCTGGGGAGCCCAGTCGCGAACCTGCGGGGCCACGAGAGGTCCGTGAGCTACGTGAGATGGCTGGGCGAGAACAGCTTGGTGTCCTCGTCTCCAGACGGCACGATTCGACTGTGGGATATCGCCTCGACACTAACTGGTACCGGCGAGAGTTGGCACGCTCGGAACGACGAGCTGCCGATCGCGAGAACCTTTGGCTGTCACTCCAACACCAGGAACTTTGTTGGACTGTCTGTTGCGAGCTCCGGCGGCGGCTCCGGCGGGCTCATCGCGTCCGGGTCCGAGAACAACGAAGTCTTTGTGTACAGCTCTTCCGTCTCGGAGAGACCCGTCTTCCGGCACAAGTTCAACGATGCGGTCGTGCTGGATGATAAGGCCTTCGTGGGGTCGGTTTGCTGGACCAAGCAAGAAGATCACTTGTCCTTGATCTCGGCAAACTCCGAGGGCATTGTGCAGGTTATACGGGCCACAACAACAAAAACAGCGCGACATACATGACACACGGACGCTGCTGAGGTTGGGCTTTTCTTTTCACAATTTCTTACACTGAATAACAGGACGAGAGAGTTCCCTTTTTCCCATTGGAAGAAAGATGGTGGACACAACTAGACACACAGGTATCACATTTTACACATGGAATAACAGGAGTGGCTATTTCATACGTAGCACAGACACACAAGACAGCCAGCCTCAAGGGAGAAGAAAAATCGACTTGGAACCGAACCTCGCGAGTTAAATAAGTAAAAGAGCACAGCACTCAAAACAAAGACTGTTCTTGGTCAGTTGTCACTCAGGCCCGATCCATGTCTTCGATCGAAGCCTCCGCTAGAGTCCGCTGCTGCTGCTCCCGCTGGGGAGACGATCCGTTCGCAAGCTGAAGGGAGCATCCGAGCTCAGGAGGAGGAGGCTGCTGCTGCTCTACGAAACAACTCTTTCCGGCCTCGATGAATCCAGCAGTGGGAGTTTGGACACCAAACAAGGGAGGCACCACAGGAGCAAATCCGAGCTGCTGGTGATCTCTGACTGGAGTGTGGTGCCTGGAGCTGGAGACGTCGAGCGGGTTCTCGGCCAGCGCCGGTGGCATTACCACCGCTTGCGAAGAACTCGGAGTGGTCGAGGAGGCCGGGACCGGGCTGGAAAGCCGAGCAGTGGCAGTAGCACCTCCAGCACCTCCGCGGCTTCCACCGGCAAATCTCACATTGGGAGCGATGTCGTTGGCGGTGGTGATGGGAACGCAAAGTCCCGGCCCAAACACGACGCCGCGGAGGATGGTGTCCGTCTCGCCCACCCGGACGGTGAGAATGTAGCCGGCGTCGAAGGAGCCGTCGAGGACGCCATGGACCGACTGGCCGACGAGCGACGCGTCCACTCGTGGGGGGCTCAGTGGGTCGATCTTCCTCTTCCGGATCTTCCTGGCGGGGGTTGGACCGACGCCACCATTGGTGCCCAGCTGCGGGCTGGTGGCGGCAGCGGCGGCGATGGTGTCGCACTTCCGGGGCCGGCCTCTTCGTTTCTTCACTGGGGAGGCGGCGCCGCCCTCTTCCGGCGGCCGGGGGGTGCCGGTCTTCGGCGGATCAACGCCGGCGGGAGCATCCACCATCGGCCTCAACTCGCGAGAAATAATCTGAGCAAAGAGGGAAGAAAAAAGAAACCAGTTTCTGAGAGTCCACCGATTAAAAAACAAATCAAGGAACAGTGTGATTCTTTTGTTTGGAGCTCTAACTTGGAGTCAGCGAGGCATTCAGAGAGCTAAACTGATGGTTCCCAAAACACCCAAGAAAAAAGAAATCCCAAGATCGATTAAGAAAATGAACAAGCACTTTGGCTTCCGGTCAAACGAAACACAGGCAAACATTCCACGGCGCATGCGAAAGCGAGCCTCTTTTGACAAGGGAGACAAAGTCAATAGCAATGTAGCAACTGGAAAGATTCGATCTTGGCCAGCGGAAGCGCTCGCTAGGGTTTTGGGAGACAACAAAGAACCAAAACCAAGACTAGAGAAGCAAGGAAACGCGAAGCAAGAAAATGCCCAAGAAGAGGAGAGAGAACAAGAACCTGTTGATCGCGATCAAGCGCGCTTCCTCCGCTCGCCCGCCACTCTCCCAAGCTTCTTTCTCCCCATGGCGGTAGCACGGACACCAATGCGCGCGCCGGTAACCTTAGCTTACCGCTTAATTAATGTCACAGAATGTACACCCACACTAGCAGAATATGCTCCTCGTAGACAGAAAATCCTTAGCTGACAGAATATACGACATTAACATATGCCATCGGATCTTTTTAAATTTAAATTTTGGGGTTTAGGATTTTAGGGTTCTTCCTCTTTACATTTTGGAGAGGTAGTGGTAGACTCCCCGGCCGGATTTGCGCCCCAGCCAGCCAGCGTCCACGTACTGGGCGAGCAGCGGGCAGGGGCGGTACTTGGCGTCGCCCAGGCCGGCGTGGAGGACGCCCATGATCGACAAGCAAGTGTCGAGGCCGATGAAATCCGCGAGCGCCAGCGGCCCCATGGGCTGGTTCGTCCCGAGCTTCATGGCCGTGTCGATCTCCTCCGCGCTGCTCACGCCCTCGAGCAGCGCGTAGAACGCCTCGTTGATCATGGGCATGAGGATCCGGTTGACGACGAAGCCCGGGAAGTCGCGGGAGCTCACCACCGTCTTGCCGAATCTGTCCGGGGTGATCAGCTTAGCTTCTCTAAGATGGGTGCTGCTTTCTTACCTCTCCGCGAGCTCCTTGGTCTGCTCAAAAACTTCGTCCGCGGTTGCCAGGCCCCGGACAATCTCCACGAGCTTCATCAATGGCGGCGGGTTCATGAAATGCATGCCAATCACCTGTTGGAAAGAACAGAACTCTAGAGCTTGACACTTCTTAGAACCAAGGAGGAGATCACTTACTTGCTGAGGACGCTGCGTAGAGGCAGCCAGCCTTGTGATCGAGATGGAGCTCGTGTTTGACGCCAGGATCGCCGACGGCTTGAGCAGCCTATCAAGCTCCGAGAAAATCCCCTTCTTCACATTCTCTCGCTCGGAGACAGCCTCGATCACCACATCCGCCGAGCTCATGTCAGCCAGAGAAGTGGTCGTCGACACGCGCGCCAGCGTCGCATTCGCTTCATCCTGCCAGCGATCAATCAATCTCCCCTTCCTGGATGAGCCACAATTCATTTACCTCCGAGATGACGCCCTTCTTAACGAATTTCGCTAGCGACGAAGAAATGCTCTGCAAGCCCCTCGTCAGAGCCGCGCCATCGGAGTCCGCCATCACCACAGCCATCTGCGCGGCGGCCGCGAGCTGCGCGATTCCAGTCCCCATTTGCCCTGCGCCTACCACGCCCACGACCCTGACGATCGCCATAGCGCACAGGGCTCATGATCCGAAGAACCCTAAATACAGAGCATTTAGTTTGAAGGAATCGAACCCTCGTCGTCTTTTATCCTTTTAATCATGCCTAAAAGGTCGTTTTTTAACGGAATTATCATTTCGAAAGAATATCTTCCGTGCTAGGGCTAGCTATGGCGAGCACGATGCGGCCAGCGCCTCCCGTGTGCTTGTGCGGCGATGGCGCGGCTTCGTGTAGCAGCTGGACATGGGTGGGAAGAAGCCGAATTTCATTCTCCGCGGTAAGGAGGCCTCGCATTTTCGATTTGGCGATCCGGAGCGGCAGAAGGAAGAATCGTGTTCTCAAGTGCGTGGCGGCAAAGGCAGAGACGGAGCTGGACGGTGGAAGCTCGAGTGGAACCACTGTGGAGGAGGCGCCACCGGGTAAGCTCCAAATTCCAACGAAAATTCTAGCAATCTCTTTTGTCCATTCGCTAAACAGCTCCAAGCACAAGGCCTGATGAAAAAATCTCGAGCACGATCTCTCAAGACTCGTCATCTCCAATTTCGTCTTGGCTCTATCCCGACAAGGAGGACCTCCCCGACGACAAAGAGATGACAATCTTTGAACACTTGGAAGAGCTTCGGGAGCGTTTGCTCTTGTCGGTCGGAGCCGTGGGAGTGGCAATGCTTGGCTGCTTTGCCTTCGCTAAAGATCTCATCATGTACTTGGAATCACCAGCGCACGTACAAGGCGTTCGTTTCCTCCAGCTCTCACCCGGCGAGTATTTCTTCACAACTCTAAAGGTATGCTCGCGGTTCTAGAGTTGCAATAATGAGATCTATCTGCTTTCTCGTTTCACAGGTCTCTGGTTACTGCGGACTTCTCATCGCCAGCCCAGTCATTCTGTACGAGATCATCGCGTTTGTAGTCCCGGGGCTAACTCTGAGCGAGAGAAAGTTCCTGGGGCCTATTGTTCTCGGATCGTCGATTCTCTTCTACGCAGGATTGGCGTTCTCCTACTCGGTGTTGACTCCGGCAGCGCTAAACTTCTTCGTTTCCTACGCCGAAGGAGTGGTAGAATCGATCTGGTCGATCGACCAGTACTTTGAGTTCATCCTCGTGCTCATGTTTAGCACAGGTCTCGCCTTCCAGGTTCGTGATGAGGTTTCTTACGTCTTTGGTGCCAAGGTTCCGTGGTTTCCAGGTTCCAGTGATACAACTTTTACTGGGACAAACTAAACTTGTCACTGGCGATCAAATGCTATCGGTTTGGAGATATGTTGTCGTCGGTGCTGTTGCTGCTGCTGCAGTTCTCACGCCCTCTACAGATCCGCTAACGCAGATCCTTTTGGCCGGTCCCTTGATTGGACTGTACCTGGGTGGGGCATCTCTCGTCAAGTTACTCCAAGCTGGAGAGACTTCCTGAGACACAGACAAATTCTAATTATATTCTATGAAAACATGTTTATAATTTTAAACATTTATAAGAGGAAATTATTTTCTTTAATGGAAACTTAATATAAAGATTACCTTAAGTAGCACATAAATAATGGTTTCTTGTATTAGAAGCCAACAAAACATTATTAGGAAATTTTGACATATAAATGACAAGATTACAATCATCTTGAATGGACAAAAATGTTGATGATATACATAATGGTTGATTATAACAATAATTATTTTTATATTCCATTTTACTTTCATGCCATTAAATAAAACGACATTTCCATTCTTTTGTATAACTAAATAACAATTAAAAAAATTCTTTTACCTGTTTTCCATATTTTATTATTTTTTGAATATAGAATAAGATTACATTCAAACTCTAAAATTAATATATTTTTCTTATTGGAGAAATTAAAAAATCATCAGAAGAAAAATGCAATCCATGATATAATGTACTAGTTTTTAAATAACATTCATTTGAGCTTTCCAAATTATAAGATTTATAAAATAAAGATAATAATTCAGTATGTTAATTTAATTCATGTTTTATTACATATTTAGTACTTTCACTTCCATAAAAGTTTGCAAGTACTTCATTCATTTGAGCTACACTTTTTTCTAAAATACTATTAAGACTTTGGAGAATAAGATAACTTGAAATTGTTGAACGTTTATTATGATATGACTTATGTTTAATTATTATATCAACAAGCCCTTTTGAGACAGATACTTGCATTTCATCAGAATAATTTAATTTATAATCTTCATTGTAATTGATTTTTCCAATTAAATTATATATAGCTACTATATCTTGTTGTGAGGGGTACGGCTATGATACCATATACTAATATTAGCATAGTGGGATTTTGGTACCCATCGAATTGATTTTAATCTGAACTATTCACTCTTGTATATAAATTAGGGTTTTTGGGCTAATTGAAATGCACATTTTCTATATTCCCTTTCTATATTCTAAGCACCCACATTGGTGGAGATGAGGGGCACCTTTGATTGTCCCTAAAGAGTGTTTAGATTTAGAATTTTGGTTTAGATTTAGCTTTTTCTATTTCCTTTCTTTTATTCGTTCCTTTCAAGATTTTGGTTTAGATTTAACTTTTTGCATTGTCTAGATTTACCATTTCCTTTTAACTTTTTGTTATTTCTCTTCTTTTGCTCTTTCTTTTTCATTCGTCTTCATGGTAGATTAGCAATCTCCTCCTTTGACTCTAGAGCAGCAGTTGGTACAATTGCTTGATGCTATGTGCTTGCAATTGAACAACCAAACTCAATTGATGGTAGCGTTCACGGCACGTGGTATAACTCCTTTTGCTCTTGGTGCCAATCCTCGCGTTCAGCCGGAATTCTTTCACGGGAATTTTGGGGATGATGTGTACCATTGGTTCGATCACTTCATAGTGATTGCCATATATCATTCTTGGGATGATGCTCAACGTTTGTGTGAGTTTCCCATGTGTCTCTAAGGGATGGCATTGCAGTGGTATAATGGTTTAAGCGTAGCCACTCGTGGGGATTGGAGTGTTCTCTCGGACATCTTCAAACTCGCCTTTGGACATACCAATGATTGTGATGATGCCTTTCAACAATTGCATTGTCTTTGCCAAAGGCCATCTGAGTTGGTGATGCAATTTGGCATTCGTTTCTGAAGTCTTTTGTTTCGTGTAGAGCCAAATATGTTAGAGCAGATCAAGCTAGGAATGTTGTGGCCAGCACTTCATCAAGATCTTGTCGGACTTGTGCCTGCACTTGCTCCTGCCACCCTTGACAATGCTCTTTGTTTGACACAATGTTATGAGACGTCGCCTCTTCCACTTCTCGCTGCATGTCCTTCAGCTCCACCTCCTATAGGTGATGGTCCTGTTCTAATGGAGGTTAATGCTGCTGCTACTCACGTCCAAGGACAAGGGTGAGGACGTCGTTGTGGCTGTGATGTTCGCTGTTGGGTGTGTGATGAAGTTGGTCATACTTATTGGCGTTGTCGGCGTTTTCCGGATTGGCGACCTCCATTTCTTGGGTGGAGACCTTGGCATCAGCAATGTTCCGTTGGTGCTGCTGCAGTGAAAGGTTTGGACACTGAGATGCATCCGGGAAACGAGGAGTCGCGCGAGTAACGGAGGGACCTTGTGCGAATAAATCAGTGACCCCTCCATATTTCTTTTGGGAGTATCATCAAGGGGTTCACTCGGCACCAGTTCATCCAGTGTTTACTTTGCAAGCTCATTTTTATAACAAGAGGTCTCCTATTATTCTCTCCTTGTTGGTTGATACAGGTTCGAGTTCATCTTCTATTGCTCAACCTGTTGCCACACGTTGCTGTCTACACTTTTGTGTCATGCGGCAGAACTAGTTTTCATTCTTTATGGCAATAGCCGTACACATGCATGTGCAC